TACTTTCCTGGTAGGGACCCCGCTCAAGGACCACCACTTTAGTGTTTCTTTTGAGGACCAAGAACAGTAAGAATGATGAGGTCAGGTCTAGCCCCTCCCCCACAACTATCAACTGCTTTTTTTGACAGTTAGAAGGTTAGGTGAGTAGTTTTTCATTAGAGGAACATGTGCACACCAAGTACCTGCTTAGGCATAGCAAAGATGAGGGATAAAAAAAAAAAAATGTTTTTGAAAGAATTTCAAAATGAAATAACCATGCTGGGAAAAACAATCAGAACTTTGTTGCACTTTCTTACACTTACTCTGTGGTTTAGAATTGTTTATATTTTAAATTACATTTGGAAGGGTGTGCACTATAATCTTTTTATTTTTGGAGCCTCTAAAGGCCTTAATCAGGCTCTGGACGCATGCTCTGGGAAACTCCGAAATATTAAACCACAACAGGGAGGCTAATTAAAGAGCCTATCACACAATGGAATCAAAATAGAAACAACCTTTAGGATGTAACTGGATCAGAAAGGAAAGGCAGAGAATATGTTTCACTACCCATACTTTTCTATTCAAAATTCAGTTTAGTGTTAAATGGGCATACCACTGGATAATAAGAAAAAATAAAAACCAACATGAACCCTGATAAAAAAGTAGGGATAGCATATTGATGAAAGAAAAAAAAAGCATGCAGGTGAAGCTGGATCTGACAGACGTGTCCTCGATGCTGAGATGCCTAAATCTGATTCAGTTGTAACAGTGTGAACCCCTGAAGGTTTCTGAGAAAGAAAGTGACATGATATAAATGCTGTTTGAGAAAAACTAGTCTAGTAACTAAATGTAAGATGGATTGGAAGAGAAAATATAAAATGTTGAAAGATAACTAGAAACCTGGTGGAGGAGGAATCCACAAGATTTAGTGACTAGCTGTAGAGGATGAAGGAGCTGAGGAGTCAGTGATTAAGGAAACCATGGGCTGGTTTGGGGGCGGGTGGTGGGGGGAGGTTGGTGACTATGGCAGTATTTATTGAAAACCAAAGACATAGTTTAGTTACACTCCAAAAGGGGGGCGGTAATACTGCTTAAATAATGCTTTATTTCATAAGGGAAATAAGGGAACATAAGAGTATTTTCCTTTTATCTTGGCCTCAATGCCAAGCCTGTATTTCCTAATACTTCAATTCAGGAGACTCTGAGAATTACAACATGGCAAAAGGAAAAGTCATAAAAGTAAGTCACTGATTTGATGTAAAAGGTTGCAGATCAGGTGAATCAAAAGTTAGGAAATGAAAGTAGAAGGTCTTATACAGACAGGATATGACTTACTGAAAGTCCAAAGTTAGAGCCTAGATCCAGTCCTGAAGAGAAGGAAAACTGTATAATGTTTCTCAGTTTTTGTTTGCTGGATGACATTTGAGAGGGGCTTCTTTTGTTCTTGGATCATTTTTAAGCCAGCAATACTCCTCAGTTCAAGTGTGGATGATCTGAAAGTCACAGCAAAGGAAGAATCAGTATCTTGCACATAGCAGGCATTCAGTAAACATTTGTGGAATGAAGAAATGAAGGATTTTCAGGATTCAGTATGTATGAAGTGTGAAAAGAATCAGGAAAATCAAATCCAGTAGCAAAGAAGAAATGGGCTAGAGTCCATATATTGCAACTCACTGAAAGCCAAACCACTATAGAAATGAAAAATGGGGCAGTGAGTCTCTGGTTTGGTTTGGTTTATAATTCCTGAGAGCTCTTTCCTTTTATCTTGGTTTCTTTTCAAGGTCAGAATCACCCTCTGCAGTTCAGTATCTGGATAAAAAAAAGAAATTGGTTAGTTATGGCAGAGGCAAAAAATTTGAGACTTCTCAACTCTTGCGATCTTGTCCAGTTCCAGCTATGAAAGCCAGGGTCTCATGGGGCAGACTTAGTTTTACTCTATTTCTCCTCAAAAAATTCCAACCATAACGTTTGCATTTGACAGACCAAGTGATATTTCTCAACAGTTGTTCTAAATCTTTACCACTCTCAACTCCCTACTGCATGTTACTCTATTTTGCACTCAGCAGGGCACCTAGCAGTTCTGCTTAATCTAGATGTAAGGTGATAACCTTCCAGACAGGAGATACCAAGAGGAAGGCCAGGCTCTGGATTCCTGGCTTGACCACCTTTTCCAGGGCCTGGCTAAATCAATAATCTCTTTATCTTCAGTCTCTCTCTGCCTGCTCCTGTCCCTGATTATTCACATACTTGTGTTTCCCCTATGTTAGAAAATTCCTTTTTCCTCTCCACCACCAAACTTCTTAGAAGCTTTTACTTCTTACTTCCAACTTTCTGACCTTCCTCCCATTAGCCCCTCAGCCACAGTAATCTGGCTTTCGTTCCCACCATGCTACAGAAAACTGCTCTGACAAATGTCACTAACAACATATGAATGTTAATATATGAGGTCTTGTTTGAATTCTATTTGAATTCTCTGCAGTGTTGGGCTCCATGGAGTACTTCTTTCCCAGCCTCTGAGATACCACTCCTTTATTTTTATACCTGTGTGGACAGTTTGACTCATTCATTCCTCAAATTCTGCCCATCTCTGAAATGTAGGTGTTTCTAAAGGTTCTCCCCTTGAGTCTCTTCTTGTGCCAACACACTCCCTACCTGCTCCCTTAGCATCAGGTATTGCCTGAATATTCCCAAATCCTCATGTCCAGACTGTCCCTACTCCTCTCAGATAAGCACAGGTTAATTAGAAAACAAATGAGCCACTACAAGAGGGACTTCACCCATGTTATCTCCACTAATCCTGACATTTCTTTGCTGACAGGGAGAAAAGGAGGAAGGATAAACCGTTACAGACCCCTTGGCATGGGAGATAGACCTCCCCTCAACTACCCATACCAGTCCTCTAAGTAAATAAAAACTAATGGGAGGAGAGTTTCTGTGCAGACACTATGTGCCAACATCTCCCCAGAGAATAATGAGATGGTCCTAAAGTCAACTGCAGTAGTAGCTTCTAGAAGGAAGAAGAGTTGGAAGTGCCACATGGGTGTTTCAGTTTGATTTTGAGTTTGGAGGGTGAGAGGAGTTTGAGTCTTTCCTCATTTGAGACCCAGCTTGCACCTGGTTCCCAAGTCCCACCCCTCTCCAAGTGTGGACAATGTAGAAAACTGGGAAATTGCCAGGAGAGAGGAGAGAGGGGCTACCTTCCAGGATCCAACAGCCTCCTCTTAAACCTCCTGCAGGCATCCCAAACACAACTGCTCTGGAACTGATCTCATCTTTCTGCTTCTACCATTCTAGTTAACAGCATCACCTTTCACCCTCTTGACCTAGATGAAAACTAGGTTGTTGGGGACTCTTCCCTCCCTAGCAGTGCCCCATTCAGTTCTAAGAGACCTCCCTCCAGACTGGCTCCTTTCAATGCTGGAGCAGCCCCTACCATCTCCATACCTCTAGTCTCTACCTCATCCAATCTATGTGTCCCACTGTAGCCAGAGGGATCGTACCAGAACATTATTGGTCATTCATCACTTCCTTTCATTAAAACCCCCACTGATAATGTCTAGGCTTTTAGTGAAGTATATGAAGTCCTTTGCAACCTACCTTGACCTGTCTTCCATCTTCATCTCTGGTGACTCCTTCCCTCATCCAAGCATCAGTGGGCTCTTTGTAACTTTTCAAACATACTTTAAGTACTGAGTGACAACTATGAGCCAGGCACTAATCTAAACTTTTAATACAGTGAACAGGAAAAAAAGGCCCCTGCTCTCTTGCAACTCACATTTTAGTAGGAAGAGCCAGTGAATAAACAAGATAATTTCAGATAGTGATATGGGGTTATGAAGACAATGAAATGAGGTGTTGGGCGGGGGTCAGCTACTTTAGTGCTCAGGAAGGGCCTGAGAAGGTAACACTTAGTTGAACTTGAATGACAAGGAGAAGCCAGACAAGCAAAGACCTGGTATAGAGTATTTGGGTCCGTTTGATCAGCATGTGAGAAAGGCCTTGAAGCAAGAACTAGCTTGGCAGCTTGGCATTTTCAAGGTTCCAAAACAAAGCAGTGAAGCTGCACCTTATTATACACTTGGGTGAGGGCAATGAGGTGAGGCCAGATCACAGGGGCCCTGTGGGCCATCAAAAGGAGTCTGGATACTATTTTAAAGGCAAGAGGAATCTACTGAAAGATTTTGAGTGAAGGAGTGACATGCTCTGGATCACTCTGGCTGTTCCTGGAGAAGGGGTTTCGGTGGAGCAGAAGGGTAGGCTTGGGAGACCCGTTCCATGTCTTCAAGCTTATGCTCAGGCCATTCCCAAGCCTGGAATGACGGTCTTTCCCAGGACGGTTCCCAGGCTCCTGGGAGCTGATTACTGCAGAGCTTTCAGCCCAGGTCAAGCCTGGTTTGCCTCACCAGCCCTACAATCATTCAACAGACCACCCACTGGGCGCAGGGGACAGAGTCCTGAGGCCTCCCGCTGTCACAGAACCACTTTTCTCTGTTCCTGCCTCGTCTCCTAACTCAAGGGGCAAGTCTCAGTCAGACTATGTTTGGCGGGGCAGTGACAAACCCAGTCCCATGGGTTAGTGGTACGAAGGAGGCTTCTCCCTAAGATGACCGAGGACACCTCCCAATTGGCAGCCGGACCCAAACCAAAGAAAGACCTGGCGAGACCAGGGCGACGCCGCGGGCGTCAATGCAGGATATGGACTACAATTCCCAGCAGACTCTGCGCGCGGCTGCCGATCCTTCCGCACCAACTTACTCCGCTGGCTGTGCCCACCGCTGCCCGCCAAGGACCAAGCCCAGGTGTTTTTCTGGAACCGAGGCCCACCTTCTTATCACAGTTCCAGAGAGAGATCACTGAGTGCCCTGGAGGAGAAACGGACTTTTTTGAGAAGCGCGGATGCAGACCATCGGGGAGACGTCGTTCTGAAACCACCGACTTTCGCGCGCTTTGGCGCGGGTGGTTGTGGGTAGCGCGCCCAGGAGGGAGAAAGGAGCCTGGGGGCTGTGACTGCGGCCTGAGGGATGTTCGAGAACGAGCCGCACCCTGAGGGGGCAGCGGTGGTCGCCGCGGCGGGGGAGGCGCTGCAGGCCCTGTGCCAGGAGCTGAACCTGGACGAGGGGAGCGCGGCCGAAGCCCTGGACGACTTCACCGCCATCCGGGGCAACTACAGCCTAGAGGTGAGCGGCGGCAGGTGGGGCGGCCGGACCCGACCCCCGCCAGGCCCCACCCCTGCCCCGCCCCTACCCCACCCTGTGGGGCGGTGGGAGTTTCCCCACCGGGAAGGGTCGCTGCCCCGCCGGGCGCCGCCGAGTGCGGAGCTGGAAGGACGGGTGTAGACCCGTCTTTCCATTTTCTTTCTGAGGCGGGAAACCGAAGTCCGGAAGAGGAGCGACTTGTCTGTGGTCGCACGCCCCTCGGGGGTCCCCTAGACTCCAGACCCGCTTCCCGCCAAGCGCCGCAGACATCACGATAGCGCCCGTAAATCTGTTAAAACAAATGCCGGAATGGTAAAAGCTGAAGTGAATTGTAGTGCCGACATCACCGCCCAGCCCTTTAAATATGTCATCTCACTCCGTTCTCGCCACAACCCTGGGAACTCGAGCTGTGATCGCCGTTCCATGGGAGCGCCTAAGCTGCGTGCCCAAGCGCGCGTGGTTAGTGGTGGAGCGGGGCCGAGGAGTCCGAGCCTTCGAACCGCTTCACCCTGCGGCGTCACCCCGGCGGCGGCGGTGTGGGCTGCTCGCTTTGATGAAAGCCATCTTCGGCAAGGGCGGCTTAGCCCAGACTCCTCCCGTCTCAGTATCTTGATGCTTAGCGCAGCGCCTGGCTCTGAATAAAATAAGCGTAGGCCGTCATTACTGGATTTTTTTCCCAACCATTCTCGCATGGAGTCCTCCCAGCAGCCCTGTGAACGTGGCAGGGCATTTTTTTACCTGCTTTCCGGGTAGTAATGTCAAGGCCCAGAGGACTGTGCTGCCCAGGGTCATTCTGCTAATTATAGGAATCCAGTGTAGAGGTAGCATTGCGATGGGATGTATTTCAGCATACTACTCCAGTAGCCTTAAATTCAGAGGCTTTCCTGCATGATCCAAGGGCCTGGACGCACTGACTCACCACCCTGTGAAATAATTAATTGCTGGGTTCAGAGGCAGGTAGTTGGATATTTGGAGTTGAGTGTTGAGGGGGAAAATACCTGAGAGACGCTCTTTTTTTTTTAATAAAGATTTTATTTATTCATTTGAGACACAGGGATAGCATGAGCAGGGGGAGAGGCAGAGGCAGAGGGAGTGTTGCGGGGCTCGATCCCCAGGACCTTGGGATCATGACCTGAGCTGAAGGCAGACGCTTAACCATCTGAGCCACCCAGGCGCCCCTAAGAGACACTCTTATATGTCTCTGGGGTAGACTGGATAAAGGACAGCGACCTGCACCCGTGGGTGGCATGACTGGGCTGAACGAAGAATAGGAAAGTGAGGGAGATTATTAATTATGGCCACTCAATGAAAACAAACTAATTTTTAAAAGCCTGAGAAGGCATTTCTGACTTTCCAAGTCCTCTTTCGATCTGTCATTGAGTAAACATTTACTGAGTGCAAAGTGTAGTCAAGGCATTAAACTAGGCACCTCTTTCAAAAAAATTTTAAAGATTTGTCTGTTTAGAGAGAAAAAAGAGAGCACGCAGGGGGGGAGGGGCAGAGAGAAAGTCTCAAGCTGACTGTGCTATTAGCTGGGTACAGGACTTGATCCCAGGACCCTGAGATCATGATCTGAGGGGAAACCAAGAGTCAGATGCTCAACCAACTGCCCCACCCAGGCGCGCATCAAATTCTTGAATATGTCAAGTTTCTTCCCACTTGAGTGTTTTCTCCATGACATTCCCTCTGTCTGGAAACTTTAACCTCACTCCCTACAACAGGTAGATTGAAGAACTAAGTCTCAAGAACTAAGTCAACTAGGTGGAGTTGATCAGGACATCTTAAATGTTTGATTTAGAAAGCACAGATGTGTGAATTAAGATTTGGTGACTTTATTCTGTCCCAAGTCTTATTTTCCTCTTTTTTTTTTCCTTCTGTTTGTTTTTGGTGAAAGGCTCTTGGAGTAGGTATTTTCATATATCTACTCTTTCTTAAGCCTTCTCCCCAGCTCCTACCCCTGTCAGTATACCAGACAAGCTTCCACTTATATTTCCCCTTGCCTTTCCCTCTCCCCTCTTACATTTTGGTGATTTGCCATTTAACCAATTTTAAGTCTCCCTCTGTGAATCCTCTGACCTCTACTCAAAATCGGTTACTCTACTATATTCTCTCACACTTTATCTTCAATTCTTATAGCATATTAAAGATAACCATTATTTCTCAACAATTAAAGATAACCATTATTTGTTCCTTTTCTTCACTCTAGATTTGGAATTACATGAGGTCAGAAACCATCTTTGTACTTCTAAGGTCTAGCATCAAAGAATTTAAATAATAGTTACTTTTTGGGGGGGGGAGCAAAAATACCAGTACTTAAATTTTCTCTATCTTAATGGTGTTTTCATCTAGTAACCTGTATCCAATGGCTCTCTAATACTTGGATGCTATTCCCCAAAATTTGTTAATCAAAGCTTCTATAGCGCCTCGGTGGCTCAGTTGGTTAAGCAACTGCCTTCGGCTCAGGTCATGATCCTGGAGTCCCGGGATCGAGTCCCACATCGGGCTCCCTGCTCAGCAGGGAGTCTGCTTCTCCCTCTGACCCTCTTCCCTCTCGTGCTCTCTCTCATTCTCTCTCTCTCAAATAAATAAATAAAATCTTTAAAAAAAAGAAAAACTTCTAAAAATATCGAACCACAAGCTTACATGCCTCATTTAATACCTAAAAAAAATAAGACTTCTCCCTACATTAGGGTAGTAACACTGGGTTTTAATTCTATTGGTGGTCACCCATTTCTGTCCTTCCCTTTTGGATTATTACAAGAAATCTTTCAATGCTTTTATTCTTTTAGAGACTGGTCTTAAAGAGGCTCTGCAGAACTGTGCTGTAAGATTTGTGTCTAATTCGGAATCCTTAAATTACATAAGTAGTTCAGTGGTAAAGTCATGAAGTGATTCTAGCTTGACGATATCTCAAGTCTAAAGCAGACAAGTGTTGAATTCCCAAATGTCATGCTTTTTATACCATTGTAAATTGAGATATCTGCTTAAATAGAGAGGCTTACTTACTATTTTAAAGATTGGATAAATCCCCAAATTTTTACCTCACAAAGATGGTGGTCTTCTTTATGTTGTACAAGATAGATACGAACTTTTTATGTGTGACTCCCTTGCCAACTTTCTACTCTCTTCTTTGCTTTCTCTGTCAAACTGGTTAAAAAAGAAACATGAAACTGGAATGGTGGAAAGGAACTTAAGCATCATCAAGGCCGAGACTAGTGTTTTCAAATCAAGAAAGCTAATGCTGAGAAATTTTAAGAGAGCCCTTTCAATAATATTGGATTTGGGGTATAGGTGAGAGATCTATTTTTAGATTAGTGCTGATTTAGCATCTTACACAGGACTGAGAATAAGAGTTTTATACTCATTACTGCAAAACTAAGCTTTGTGACCTTGGCAAATACCTTCACCGCTCTGGCCTATTATATACATAATGAAAGTAAGACCAGATAGTTCTAAGATCTTTTCTGGTTCTAGAACTCAAGCATTTTAACATAATATATTCACTTTGCTGTTTGTCTTTTGCCTGCCAGGGAGAAGTTATACACTGGTTGGCATGTTCATTATATGTTGCATGCCGCAAAAGCATTATTCCCACTGTTGGGAAGGGTATCATGGAAGGAAATTGTGTTTCACTTACCAGAATACTGCGTTCAGCTAAACTAAGGTAAAGCACTTTGATTTTTCAAACACTCTTTTATAAGTACTAAATTTACTTTTGGAATTTAATTTCTGTGTAACTCTATTCCATTTTAAGTTTGTTGTCCTATAGGTATTCCTTTCCAATTCTCATATTCTTCCATTGCCTTTCTTCCTCAAATTCTGACTTCAGCCAGAGACCTCTATACTAATCTTTTTAATCTATAATTTTTTTCATTATTTTTTTAAAATTTGGAAATAATTTCAAGCTTTTAGAAAAGTTGCAAAATTTTTTTAAGCATTTTTTTCACCCATATACCCTTGACCCAAATTCACTTATTATTGACACTTTATTCCATATGCTTTGTCGTTTGATCTTTCTCAAATATTTTTTTCGTCAACCATTTCGAAGTAAGTAGCATGCATTACAGCCCTTTACCCCTAAATACTTCATTGTATATTTAGGTAACTACCACAGTTATCAACTTCAGTAAAGTTAACATTGATATAATAATTTAATCCATCATCTCTATTCTAGTTTTATTAGTTGATCCAATAATGTTCTTTATAGCAATTTTTTAAAAGAATATTCCAATCTAGGATTAGGTACTACCTTCACTTATCATATCTGTTTAGTTTCCTTTAATTAGGAATATTTCCACAGCAAGAATATAGTCCACAAACACCCCCAACCCCCTTTTTAATAGATTACTCCTCATTTTGGATTTGTCTCATGTTTTCTTATGATTAGAGGCAGGTTATACATCCCCATATAGAAAACTACATAAATAATTTTGTGTCCTCACTGTATCACATCACATCTGGAGGCATGATATCCATGTGCTTGTGTTAATTTTTATTATCTGCTCAACGTGCTGTCCTGTTTTTCTGCTGTATAGTTAATATTTTTTACTGGGCAACAAATAGTGTGTCTTAGTTATAGCTTTTACTTGCTCTAATATTAATCATATGGAACTATTTGCCTGGATACAAAACAAAAGAAATGGAGTGACCCAGATTTGGGTAGGTGGTAATGTTCTCTGTTTCTGGGTTTTTCACCCATGACAGAACTATTTGAGGTGGTTGTCTATTTGCTGTCCTGGGTTTCCAATATGGAAGACAAACTTTAAAAGACCTATTGAGGGATAGCAAGTAGGTTTCAGTTCATGCTAAATTAAAAAAAAAAGTCTCTCAGAACAATTTTAGTTTGCATAAGTGGAAAAATAATACATTCAAGACAATGTTTAAAACTTTAATAAATATCAGTTTTTGTCATTGATAAAAATAAAATGAAAGTGTAATTAAGATTGGTGGAATTCGGGTAATTTTTTTAATTGAGCAAAACCTCCCTATACTTTATAATATTAGGTTGTTGGGGAAACTGAACAAAAAAAGAATAGCTTAAAATTTGGAGCAGTATAAGCACATGATAAAAATTTCAGATAATGAAACATTCTGGAAATGGATGGTGGTTTGATTGCACAGTGGGAATGTACTTAATACCACTTAATTTACACTTAAAAATGGTTAAAATAGTAAATTTTATGTTATATATACTTTTACCATAATTTTTAAAAAGGTTCACAAACTTTGAAATAATACAGAATGTTTGAGAGTATAAAGATGTCCCTTTCTTTTCTCTCCCCAGAATTAACCACTTAAACAACTTACTGTCAAAATATATATATATATATTTTTAAGTAGGCTCTACACCCAATGTAGGGCTTAAACTCACGACCCTGAGATCAAGAGTCGCAGGCTCCACCGACTAAGCCAGCTAGGCACCCCAATAAATTGTTAAGCAGAAAAAAAATCTGTTTTTCAGTGTTTTAGTTGTTTTTTTAAAACATAAATGAGATCATCCTATATGTATTGTTTTGTAGTTGCTTTTCTTACTTTATATTTTGGTAATTCTTTTTTTTTTTTAAGATTTTATTTATTCATGAGAGACAGAGGGGGAGAGAGAGAGAGAGAAGCAGAGGGAGAAGCAGGCTCCCAAGGAGCAGGGAGCCCGATGCGGGACTCGATCCCAGGACCCAGAGATCCCTCGGCTTATGACCTGAGCCGAAGGCAGACGCTTAACCATCTGAGCCACCCAGGCGCCCTATATTTTGGTAATTCTTACATATTACCATAAGTAGCTCTTCCGCACTCTAGGACTTAAGATAAGGATGTTTCATATATTTACCCAACCCCTTGTTGATGACCATTTATCCAATTCTTTGTGATTACAGACAGATCATTGTGAAATGTATTTCAGATGAAATACATACATTGCTCAGTAGGGAGCCTGTTTCTTTTTTTTTTTTTTGGTAGAAATGTACCATTTTATTATTACAAAGATTCTCACGAAAATGATTTTTTTTTTTTTTAAAGGATACTAGACTACCAGTCTCCACCTGCAGAATTGGGCGAGGATAGAGGGCAGGCTGTGGGAGTTCTTGACTCACATGGGGCAGTGGGAAGGCATGATAACAGAACCAATCTAAAAATGGCTGATGTTACCTTAAGGAGCCTGATGGGGGGCGCGGTGGTCCCTGAAGACCCAGCCACTCCTTCTAGAAGGGAGCCTGTTTCTCCCTCTGCCTGCTCTGCCTGCCGCTCTCCCTGCTTGTGCTCTCTCTAACAAATAAATAAATAAAATCTTTTAAAAAAAAGTTTCAACTAAAAATTTCTTTTGCTGTTAAGTGTAATATTAAAAAGTAGTATCAAAAAAAAAATTTGAATTTTTAATTTAATAAAGTTGTCTGCATCTCATTGTTTTAAGTATTGAGAAGTAATTTTTCCACATTTTCCACGAGTTTTTCAGTAACTTATGATCACCTTATGATCAAGGTGACATTCATTCATTCATTATTTTCATATTATAATAGAACCTAATATTTCATTCATGAAAAATTATTTTTTACACATTTTAATTAGAACATTGAGGATACTAAATTTTTACAAAGTGATTCTCTTTTTTATCTTTTGAGTGCCATTGAAATTCAGTAGTATGCTGCTTTTGGGACATACGCCCCATATTTACCATCCCTACTCTATATTTGTTTTCAGGGGGTGTGTGTGGTAAAATATACATAACATAGGGGCACCTGGGTGGCACAGTCAGTTGGGCATCTGACTGTTGATTTCAGTTCAGTCGTGATCTCGAGGTTGTGGGATCTGGCCCCGTGTCAGGCTCCCAGCTCATCAGTAAATGTGCTCTCCTTCTCTCCCTCCCCCTACCTGTGCGTGAGCACGCACGTGTTCTCTCTCTATATATATAAATGAATAAATGAATCTTTAAACAATATATATACATAAAATTTATTGTCTAACCGATTTCAGTGGCATTAAATACATTTACATTGCCGTGCAACCATCACCACCATCCATCTCCAGAATTTTTTCAGCTTCCCAAATTGAAACTTCATAACAATTAAACAATAGCTCCTTCTCCCTCCTAGCCCTTGGCATTTATCTGTACTTCATTCCTTTTTATGGCTGAATAATATTCCATTTTATGGATATACCACACTTTTTTATCCACTTATTAGTTGATGGATACTTGAGTTGTTTCCACCTTTTGGCTATTATGAATAATGCTGCTGTGAACATTTGTGTACACGTTTTTGTGTAGACATATATTTTCATTTCTCTTGGGTATATATGTATGAATGGAATTGTTGGGTCATAGGGGAACTCTATGTTTAACCTTTTGAGGAACTGTCAGATTGTTTTCCAAAGTGACTACACGAGTTTACGTTCACACCAGCAGAGTTTGAGGCTTCCATTTTACCCATATCCTTGCCAATACGTGTTATTTTCTTTTTTATTCTGACCATTCTAGTGGGCATGAAATGGTATCTTCTATTTCCCCAGTGGCCAATGATGTGGAGCTTCTTTTCATGTGCTTATTGGAGTATTGTATTCTCTCTTTTTTTTTAAGATTTTATTTATTTATTTGCGATAGCGAGAGAGCACGAGCGGGGTGGGGGGTTTTTTTTGGAGCGGTGGCAGAAGGAGAGGGAGGAGCAGGCTCTCCACCGAGCAGGGTACCCGACTTGGGGCTCAATCCCAGGACCCTGGGATCAGGACCTGAGTGGAAGGCAGACGCTTAACCAATGAGCCACCCAGGCACCCTGGCATAATGTATTCTTTACGACAGAATTCCAATGAACAGAATTGTTTTAAAAGCTAGGAAGTTTACTTTGCTGCTTATTTTACTTTAAAAAAAATCATACTCATAGGTGAAGTAATAATAATGCTATAATTTTTTTTGTTTCCAAACATTCTGATGTACTTTGTTCCAGGTTAGAACAGCAATCTAGAAATAGCAATAAATACAGTGGATTTATATGGGGATGTATTAGTCAAGCATCTTGTTTATAAAAAACAGATACCAACTACTGACTTTGGCTAACTTAAAGAGAAAAGAAATTTACTGAAAGGATATTGAATACCTGACAAAGTCTTTTTTTTTTTTTTAAAGATTTTATTTATTTATTTGACAGAGAGAGACACAGCAGGAGAGGTTTTTTTTTTTTTTGGAGTGGGAGAGGGAGAAGCGGGCTTCCCGCCAAGCAGGGAGCCCAATGCGGGGCTCGATTCTAGGACCCTGGGATCATGACCTGAGCCAAAGGCAGATGCCCAATGACTGAGCCACCCAGGTGCCCCGAATACCTGACAAAGTCTTTACGATGACTTGAGAAAATAGACTTGGAAAACGTCCAGGAACAAAATGAGTCTGGCTAAAGCCAAAAAGCATATCACAAGAATTCATCTAACAAGGACAGGACTTAACATGGCTAGCAGTGCCATCCCTGGACATTGCCACTGTATTTGTCCCTAATAGCTGAATGTTGCTGTTGATCCTGCTTTAAGAATTTATCACTTGTTCAGTTTTCTGCACCACCAGCTCCAGATTCAAAATCCCAAATATGTATCAAGGACCTCAGGTTTTATTCCTTCACCCTAACTTGAGTGAAGCTGATCTATCTATTAGACAGCAAGATTCAAAACTGGGGAATTCCTCAAACAAAGGAAAGAATTTCACATGCTGAGCATCCCTGCCTCCAAAACAAAGTCTCCTATAAGGAGTCCCTATAAGGGACTCTAACTTGTTAGCCAAAATAAATATTTAGTAATCTGGCAAAAAAATTCTTGTTGCTGTTATTGATAAGAATCTTTTAAAGAGACTCTTAGATTCTCAGATTTCAGTCAGCATATCTGGAGTTTGAATACCTATGGATAATTAGCTGACGATGTCTTCCATCACCTTTTTAAAAAGTATCATTCTGGGGTACCTGGCCAGTTCAGTCAGTTTAAAGCCTGCGATTCTTGATCTCAGGTTTGTAAGTTCGAGCCTCAGGTTGGATATAGACATTACTTAAAAATGAAATCTTAAAAAAAAAAAATTCTGTATATAATGCTAGACATTTAAATGAACTTTAACACTACAAATTTTCAGTCTAAGACCATACTAACATGGGGACATAAAAAATGTACCCATAATTGAATAAGCCAGAAAGGTGGAATAATAATCTATTAAGTGATTTTCTGGTTATGTACTACCTTCTTCATTTATATTTGATGGTGGAACCACATATTGGAACATAAACACTTGAATTGTATTCCTAAACTAGAACTGTCTGGTGCTTTGTGATCAACTTCCACAATCCACTATTTGGGAGATTCTATCTGTCCTCAAACTAATTTTGTGAACTCAGTCTGTTGACATTTACGTTGTAATATATATACAAATTAATGTCTAGGTGCTGTAGGGAATAAAAGAGGTAGATAGGTACCATCACTTCAGCATAGGAGCAGACATTTATGTAATGACTACTAATTCAAAATCTATATTCCCATAGTGATTCTGGGAGCTGGAGTAATTTCATAGCACTCGGGAGTGAGGTTTTTCAGTTGCCTTTTTTTTTTTTAAATAAATTTAGGCTTTTTTTTTTTTTTTAAAGATTTATTTATTTATTTTGAGAGAGTACATGAGAGTGGGGAGGGTCAGAGGGAGAAGCAGGCCCCTCGCCGAGCAGGGAGCCCGATGCGGGACTCGATCCTGGGACTCCAGGATCATGACCTGAGCCGAAGGCAGTCGCTTAACCAACTGAGCCACCCAGGCGCCCCTAAATTTAGGCTTTTAAGTAAAGATTCTTTCTTTTAAAAAAATAAGATTCTTAAGATTCATAGGCATAAATAAAATGTTAATTTGTCCATTATATGGACTCACTTTAAAGTTGCTTTTTTAAAATAAGTAAATAAATAAATATAGTTGCTTTTTTTTGTTTAGTTTAATACAGTTTTTTAGTAAAATGAAGAAGTGGATGGACATGTCAATTTTTTTTCAAGAATTTCGTGAACGTATAGAAAGGCTAGAAAGAAATTTTGAGGTGTCTACTGTAATTTTCAAAAAATTTGAGCCAATTTTTTTAGATATATTTCAAAATCCATATGAAGAGCCACCAAAGTTACCACGAAGCAGGAAGCAGAGGTAAGACCCTTAATTGTTAAATAATTGACATAAAAATAATACAAATTATGCTATAAACTTTGGAAATTTGCATTTTTTAAAGTCTGCTTTTTACCAGAAGTATCCATTTGCAAAAAAATTTAAATTTTTTAAAAATCCATTTATAATTACCATATCTGGAAATTCAGGGTAATATTTTCACTTATTTTTTATGGTCTTTTTATTTTATGCAGATTAGAAAGATTTATTTATTTAAGTCCATTTAATGAACCATAAATTGTCCTTTGTGAATGGAATTTTACATGTAATTTGACTTTACTAGTTATTTATATTTGCTGTTTCAATTTAAATGACAATGTGGAGTGATATTTAGCAAGTTAGTTAAGAAGTACATTTTTTCCTTTCTAGGAGGATTCCTTGCAGTGTTAAGGATCTCTTTAATTTCTGTTGGACACTCTTTGTTTATACTAAGGGTAAGGTGATACTTTGAATAGTTTTACATTTCTGCTGTGGGAATTTGGTGTTATTTGACATGAGAGGTTTCTGGTCTTTGTGTCTTTTTTTTCTTATAAAGGTAATTTTCGTATGATTGGAGATGATTTGGTAAATTCTTACCATTTTTTTTTGTGCTGCTTGGATCTCATCTTTGCCAATGCCATTATATGCCCAAATAGACGTGACTTGCTGAATCCATCATTTAAAGGTAAGACATTATTTACTTTTGAAAACTGGTCATCAGTATTTTAAAAAGTTTTAAAAGTTGACCATATTCTTCTAACCATTTCCTTTTGCTCTTAATACCTTATCAAATTAGGTTTACCATCTGATTTCCATACTGCTGACTTTAGGGCTTCTGAAGAGCCTCCCTGCATCATTGCTGTACTGTGTGAACTGCATGATGGACTTCTAGTAGAAGCAAAAGGAATAAAGGAGCACTACTTTAAGCCATATATTTCAAAACTCTTTGACAGAAAGGTACTGTACTTATAAGTGAATGGCTAAGATTTGTAAGGGTCAGCAGCAAGAGCCTCAAAGGAAAAAACAATGTTTTAAGCAAGTCCTCAGCATTATAGGACTCGGGGTCGAGATTCCCAGGTTTCAGTCTCTGCCATGATGCAAAATGCTGTAATGCAGAATTGCCCTATGATCTTTTGTGATGTGCAAAACTGAGCTGTTAAAGATTGTGACCGACTATATGTACTGTCAATTAAATGCACTGGCAGAGACAGCTGTAAGAGATTTTGATAAAAGAATTATAAAGAACAGAACATTGGGGGCGCCTGGGTGGCTCAGTCGTTAAGTGTCTGCCTTCAGCTCAGGTCATGATCCCAGTGTCCTGGGATCGAGCCCTGCATCAGGCTCCCTGCTCAGCGGGGAGCCTGCTTCTCTCTCTCCTACTCCCGCTGCTTCTGTTCCCTCTCTCGCTGTGTCTCTCTCTGTCAAATAAATAAATAAAATCTTAAAAAAAAAAGAACAGAACATTGGAGTAAGCCTGATAAAGAAGTATGAAAAGCAGGTCGGGAAAAAAAAAATTACTGCCACAATTTGAATAACTTCTGACTACTTACTAAAGATGGGATGATGTACAACAACCATAGCTTTAATTCCATATAAATAGAGCTGAAAATCTTTTATAGTTTTGTAGCCACTTGCAGGCTACCTGCATGCGTTCTGGATTTTTTTCTCAGTAATTTACTTAGCTATTTCTATGTTTATGAAATGACTTGTTCCTCTTGGTCTCATTTCTTACCTCCCCAACATTGAGCCATTTAATCCAGCTAGTACTTGAGTTTTCTCTTTGGTAAAAGAAAAAAAAAAGGGATTGGATTAGGTCATCACTGTAGTTCCCCTCTTTGTAGATAATATGAGAAAAAAAAAAAAGCATAAAGTCTTACCTAACTGGGTGGTTCTTCTATTACACAAATTTTTGTATCTAGTTTTACCTTCCTGTGTGTGTGTGTATCATGGCTCCTTATCTGTATGTTAAATATGTCCAGCATAGTAAATTTTGAAAGGAACTCAAGGATTATCTTTTGTGCTGTGCAAAGGCAGCACACTAGTGGCCCTGGGGTATAATGACCATACATCTCGGTTTGCCTGGATTATCTAGGTTTTGGTTGTTGTCTTAGCATAATTATTATAGCACCTCCTTTCACTCCAAAACTATTCTAGTTTGGACAGTCGTCCTCCTACTTATGGGCCGCAGATGTTTTGTTTGGCCTATGTAGAGTGTTCTTTATTTTTATTTTATTCAATTTTAATTTTACATATAAAAACTTTTAATATGAAGATCTCTCTCAAGGGGTGCCTGGTTGGCTCAGTCGGTTAAGTGTCCGACTCTTGATCTCAGCTCAGGTCTTGATCTCAGGGTCATGAGTTTAAGCCCCATGTTGGGCTCCACGCTAGGTGTCAAGCCTACTTAAAAAAAAAAAAAGGGAAAAAAAATCTCTTTCAAAAGTCAGAAGCTGTGGAAATACAGGGTTGGAATTTCTACATGAATTTCTGCATGGGTAACTATTGTCAGGCTAAATGATGGCCACCTCTTTTAGGATGGGAAGTATGCTTTCTATCCTCTTAATTTATATATGTTGAACCCTGACCCCTGAAGGCATTTGAGTTTGCAACCCTGATGGTAGTAATCTAAGAATAGTGTGGGTGCATAAAAAATATTATAAACAGGGGCACCTGTTTCATGCTCCACCTCCATCAGTTGGTGGAGCGTCCAAGTCTTGATCTCAGGGTTGTGAGTTCAGGCCCCATATTGTATGTGGAGCCTACTTAAAAAAAAAAAAAAAAAAAGAAAGAAAATATTATATAAGCAGTGTAGTTTTCTTCTCTCACCAGCAACAGTACCTATATTCCCTTTGAATCTTTCCTTACCTGACACATATTATAATTGAATGTTAGTTTCCCTTCTCCATAGACCAATGTTTAAAATTGGACAGCTTTTTTCAGAATCAGTTGGGGAACTTATATAAAATGCTGCCTTGGCTCAGGATTTGAGGTCCATCAATCTGCATTTTTTTAAAGTCCCCCTAAGTGAGTGCCTGGGGGGCTCAGTTGGTTGAGCGTCCAACTCAGTTTCGGCTCAGGTCACGATCTCAGGGTCATGAGATTGAGCCCTGGGTTCAAGCTCAGCCTGCTTGAGATTCTCTCTTCCTCTGCCCCTCCCACCTGTTTGCATGCTTTCTTTCTCTCAAATAAATAGATAAATCTTTAAAAAAAAAAAAATCTCTAAGTGATTCTTATGTCACTAGAATTTAGAAACCACTGCCATAGGCTAACTTAAAAATATTTTCAAAAATTGACCTTAAATTTTTAAAATATTTTATTTGCATGCTAAATAGGTTTTACTGGTTTAAAAGAAATAGTAATTCTGTTTTGTGTGTATATTATTTATTTATAAGAACTGCCAATGTGAAAATTTAGATAAATGTCGTGTTTTTGTATCTATGTTATTTTGCTTAATTACATGTCAAAAAATGACTTTTTCTTCCCAGATTTTAAAAGGAGAATGCCTCCTGGACCTTTCCAGTTTTACTGATAATAGGTAAGTATTTAGGGTGCCTGGGTGGCTCAGTCGTTGGGCGTCTGCCTTCGGCTCAGGTCATGATCCCGGGGTCCTGGGATCGAGTCCCACATCGGGCTCCCTCCTTGGGGGGAGGCCCGCTTCTCCCTCTCCCACTCCCCCTGCTTGTGTTCCCTCTCTCGCTGTCTCTGTCAAATAAATAAATAAAATCTTTAAAAAAAAAAATAGGTAAGTATTTAGTACTAATGGTATCTGCCATATTATAGGCTGTCAATGATGATTTATTGCAATTTGTCAAGTGGAACATTATATCAAGGTAACTCCTCCAAACTCAAGTTCCTTCTGCATTAGTGGCATTTACTGAGGTTGTCACTAATCCTTGTTGTCTTTAAGTAGACATATTTTACGAGACTTTTGGCACTTAAAAAAAAAGAAAAGAAACTGGCACTTAAAAGAGCTCCTTCCAGAGAAACTTATAAAGAGACCCAATGATTTCTGTATTTGAGTGTATGTTCTTTTATTAATCAAATATTGGCAAATTCAGAATATATTTCAAAACCATTATTGTCCCCTCAGTGATCCCATCTTAATTAGATTCAGCTAATTTTCAGATTAAGTTTATGCTCTCAAAGTAATTTATTATTGCTGTGTATGTGAATGCAAAGCATGTCCATAATCAGATAGGAACGTCTGATATTGTTAGGTGGGTAGAGTTAAAAACTGGAAAGTCATCAGCTTTTCCAGGCCTTGGAGTCTAACTCTTCCTTCAAGTCAAAGTAAATCCATTGTGAAGGTACCTGGCTGGCTCAGTTGGTAGAGCATGCAACTCTCAATTTTGGGGTCGTGAGTTTGAGCCCCATGTTGGATGTAGAGGTTACTTAAATATTTAAAAAAGAATCGATTGTGTAACTTAGTTTTATTCTAGCAGCTTAACATAATTCTTGGGGTATCTGACTGGCTCAGAAGAGCACACAACTCTTGATCTTGGGCTTGTGAGTTCGAGTTGGGTGTAGAGATTACTTAAAAATAAAATCTTTAGACCCACAACTACATGGTCAAGTAATCCTCAACAAAGCAGGAAAGAATATCCAGTGGGATAAAGGCAGTCTCTTCAACAAATGGTGCTGGGAAAATTGGACAGCAACATGCAAAAGAATCAAACTGGAGTGCTTTCTTACACCATATACAAAAATAAATTAAAAATGGATAAAAGACCTAAATGTGAGACAGAAAACCATCAAAATCCTAGAGGAGAACACAGGCAGCAACCTCTTTGACCTCAGCTGCAGCAACTTCTTGGCTAGACACGTTGCCAGAGGCAAGGGAAACAAAAGCAAAAATGAACTATTGGAACTTCATCAAGATGAAAAGCTTCTGCACAGCAAAGGAAACAATCAGCAAAACTAAAAGACAGTCTACAGAATGGGAGAAGATATTTGCAAATGATACATCTGATAAAGGGTTAGTATCCAAAATCTATAAAGAACTTAACCAAACTCAACAGCCAAAAAGCAAGTAATCCAGTTAAGAAGTGAGCAGAAGATATGAATAGACACTTTTCCAAAGAAGACTTCCAGATAGCTAACAGACACATGAAAAGATGCTCAACATCACTCATCAACAGGGAAATATAAATCAAAACCACGATGAGGTATCACCTCACACCTGTTGGAATGGCTAAAATTAACAACACAGGAAACAACAGATGTTGGTGAGGATGCAGAGAAAGGGGAACCCTCTTGCACTGTTAGTGGGACTACAAACTAGTGCAACCACTCTAGAAAACAGTATGGAATTTCCTCAAAAAGTTAAAAATAGAACTACCCTACAATCCTGCAATTACACTACTAGGTATTTCCCAAAGCATACAAAAATACAGATTTGAAGGGGTACATGCACTGCAATGTTTGTAACAGCATGATCAATAATAGCCAAACTATGTAGAGAGCCCAAATATCCATTGACTGATGAATGGATAAAGAAGATGTGGTATATATACACAATGGAATATTACTTAGCCATCCAAAAGAATGAAATCTTGCCTTTCACAATGACATGGATGGAGCTAGTGTGTATTATGCTAAGTGAAATAAGTCAGGCAGAGAAAGACAAATATCCTATGATTTCGCTCATGTAGAATTTAAGAAACAAAACAAATGAACATATGGGAGGGGAGAAAAAGAGGGAAACCATAAGTCTCTCTTAAGAGAACAAACTGAGAGGCAATGCAGGGAGGTGGGTGGGAAATGGGCTAGATGGTGGGTATTAAGGAGGGCACTTGATAGGATGAGCACTGGGTGTTGTAAGTCATGAATCACTGAATTCTCCTTAAACCAACATAGCACTGTATGTTAACTAACTAGAATTTAAATAAAAATTTGAAAAATAAAATCTTTTTAAAATAAAATCTCTTTTCAGCAAAGCAGTGAACAAGGAGTATGAAGAATATGTTTTAACTGTTGGTGATTTTGATGAGAGGATCTTTTTGGGAGCAGATGCAGAAGAAGAAATTGGAACTCCTCGAAAGTTCACTGGTGACACCCCATTAGGGAAACTGACAACACAAGCTAATGTGGACTGTAATCTTCAACAACACTTTGAAAAAGTAATATAACTTAGCCTGGCCTCAATCTTGAATGATCTTTTTCTCTCTGTGTGTGATTCTACTAACAACAGAAGCATCTTTCAAGTTAAATCTTGAGTTTCTTCTACTAATTTGTATTTCCCATGAAAGCCTTAAAAGGTAATTTTTAAAACTATGGCATTTAGTATTTTTACCTCATTTCTTGATGTTTTTCATATTTTTGATATATTTTCCCAGAATGTCTGGGCTTTTCAGTAGGGTATGTGTCTTTTGACATAAAAAAGGATTTATGTGGGGCGCCTGGGTGACTCAGTCAGTTAAGCATCTGACTTCAACTCAGGTCATGATCTCAAAGGTCCTGGGATCAAGCCTCATGTCGGGCTCCCTGCTCAGCAGGGAGTCTGCTTGTCTCTCTCCCTCTCCCTCTGCCCATCCCCCCTGCACACGAGTGAGCTCTCTCGCTCTCAAATAAATAAATAAAATCTTTCAAAAAAAAAAAAAGGATTTATGCTTTCCTATCATTCTTTCTTTGCATCACTTTAGCCAGTATTCTCTTGCTTTAAAATTTAGTTTATTCTCCTACCCATGACAAATTATGTGCTTTCCCTGAACTTCAGCCATAGAACGCTGGACTTGACTGTTAATAGTGAAGGCTTAATTCTGTATTTCTGTGTAAAATGGGTTGGAGGATGAGGTCTAATGGAAAGTTCCCTGGCCTAGAAGGTAGAAAACCTAAGTTTCAGTTCAAGCTCTGCCATTAACTTTGTGAGCTTAAACAGTTTTTTTACCTTCTCTGTGCCTGTTTCATATGTAAAATGAAAATGTGTATATTTCAAATGAATATTAGGATAAAATGAGATTATAGGTAGTAGGTACTTTGAAAAACTTTTACTTAAATGTAAGGATGTTATTAGCATAATATTGGTAAAAATTTGGTGGTTAACCAGAGGAGGGAGGAAAAAAGTCCTACTAAATATGAATAGAGAAGATGTTATATATATACTGAATAAAACACGTAATGAGGGCAAGGTAACTTTTTAATCTCACAGATTTTTCTTTATTGACAGAAAACATCATTTGCACCTTCTACCCCACTGACAGGACGGCGATATTTACGAGAAAAAGAAGCAGTCATTACTCCTGTTGCTTCAGCCACTCAAAGTGTGAGCAGGTTACAGAGTATTGTGGCTGGACTGAAAAATGCACCAAGTGAACAACTTATAAATATTTTTGAGTAAGTATAATATTATTTTTCTAAATAAATTATTTTAAAGATTTTATTTATTTATTTGAGAGAGAGAGAGCACAAGCAGGAGAGAGGGGCCGAGGGAAAGGGAGAAGCAGACTCCCTGCCCAGCAGGGAGCCCGATGCAGGGCTTAATCCTAGGACCTCAAGATCATGACCTAAGCTAAAGGCAGACACTTAATGGACTGAGCCACCCAAGCGCCCCTTTAAATAAATTTTTTTTAAAGATTTTTATTCATTTATTGAGAGAGATAACTATAGAAACCATGAGAGGGGTTTTTTTTAGAGGGAGAAGCTGACTCCCTGCTGAGCAGGGAGCCCGATGCGGGACTCGATCCCAGGACTCCAGGATCATGACCTGAGCCGAAGGCAGTCACTTAAACAACTGAGCCACCCAGGTGCCCTAAATAAATTTTAATCACAAAGTATGTTGACCTAAAATCAGATGAAAGTACCTATTAAAATTATATAGAGGGGTGCCTGGGTGGCTTAGTTAACTAGTTAACTTAGTTAATGCATAACTGCTTACCCAGTTATGCATTATTGTTTTTCTTTTTACATTGACTTTAAATGGTTTCAATCTAAATGTCCATCAAGGGAGAGACTGATTACATATTGATGGTGCAGCCATAAATGGAATTTTATGCAGTTGTTTAAGATAAAGAGGCATGTGTCCTAGCAAAGATGGTAGAATAAATCCAGATCAGAGAACCTAATTTCCTAATACTTAGTGAAATAAGAGAATAGTAAAAAACCAGCAGACTACTTACCAGCAGCAATCAAATGAAGAGAGGGATATGATTTAATGCTATAAATTTCCAAAATGATGGTCAAGAAAGGAATGATTTATTCTGATATGCCCATCTCTAAGAAGTATTACTAGAGAAGGAGAGGGTCTGTTGATAGATATTGAGTATGCTTATTAATACCCCAGATACAGAGAGACATGGGTGAGTAGACAAATGAGTAAAAAGTCATAGATCACCCCAAGTGAAAGTCCCTATATTCCACCACTAAGATAACTGCAGAAATATGACGGAACTCCCAGGGCCTGTCATTTTCCAAGGTTCCATACTAATTTGAGGGGATATCCTGATGCTAATAGAACTAGAAGATATCCCTGACTAGATATAGCAAAACCTGGAATAGGGACATTTAACTAATCTTGGAAGAGTAAGCAAAGTCCTGGTCTTCTAATAAAAGCTGAACATAGCACTAGCTGAGCTCTCCTCTACTCCCCAAACCTTCAGTCTACAGAAAAGTGGACAGAACAATCCTAGCCTCAAACACAGCTCAAAAGATATGCAAATTGCAAATAAGGTAGAAAGAGTGTCATGAAGATCTTCCTTCATAGCATTTGAATAAATAGATATGGACTGAACTGTTCATTTAAGCATGAACAAGTTGAAAAGTGTCAAGGCAATGATGCAAACATTTTATGGCAACAAGAAAAGGAAGGAAGGAAGGAAGGTATGCAAAACACAAAGAATCTAGAAACAAATGGGAAGACATTCCATGATCATAATTGGGAAGATTTAATATTGTTAAAATGTCCTTATTACCCGAAGCAATCTACAGATTCAGTGCAATCCCTATCAAAATGCCAGTGGCATTTTTTACAGAAATGAAAAAAAATTCCTAAAATTGATATAGAATTTCAAAGTACCTTTAATAGCCAAAACAATCTTAAAAAAAAACAACAAAACTGAAGGCCTCACACTTCCTGATTTCAAAACACATTACAAAGCTACCATAATCAAAACAGTATGGGATTGGCATAAAGACAGGCATGTAGACCAATGGAACAGACTAGAGAATGCCAAAATAAATCTTCATGTATTTGGTGAAATGATCTTTGACAAGGGTGCCAAGACTACACTACAGGGAAAGGATAGTCTCTTCAACAAACGGTGCTGGGGAAAGTGGATGTCTATACAAAAGAAGGAAGATGAACTTTTTATCTTACACCATATCCAAAAGTTAACTCAAAATAGATTGAAAACCTAAACATGAGACCTGAAACTCTACAACTAGAAGAAGGCATAAAGGAAAAGCCTTATGACATTGGAATGGGCAATGATTTCTTGGATATGACATGAAAATTACAGGTAACAAGAGTACAAATAGACAAATGGGACTACATCAAACTTAAATACTTAAGTGCAGCAAAGGAAAAAAAGTAATCAGACTGATAGAAACACATTAGAATGGTTGCCAGGGTTGGAAGGAGGGGAAATAAGTTGTTGTTCAATGGGTATAGAGTTGCAGTCATACAAGATGAAAAAGTTCTAGAGATCTATTGCACAACAGTATGCATGTGGTGAAAAATACTGTACTGTACTCTTAAAAATTAAGGTCAATTTGTTACGTGGTTTTTGTTTTTGTTGTTATATGTTTTTAATACATAATTTAAAAAAAAAAAAACCCTAAAAAGAAGAAACATAACTCAAGAGGCACAGCTTGCATTAGAAGAAAAAAAAAAAAACATATTTTGCCATATGTGCTACCTACCTCTCTCTATACATGATTCTGGTCTGTTTGAACATGGAGTTGGGAGTCCTGAACCCTGTACTAATTATCTGGCTTTGGGCAAATCACTTTCTTTCTCATAGTCTTGAATTTGTCATTCCTGAATTAAGATTCTGTGTTTGAATGACAGAAAAGTAACAGTTAATATAAACGTAACAGGGGTATTTCTTACCAAGTGCTTTCCTTTTTAGTGCTATATTTTTCTATTTGTTATTCTTTAGGCTTTGATAAGAATTACATGCAGTTTATTGTTCCAGCACTATAAATATATATAGTTGACCCTTGAACAGCATGGGAGTTAGGGTCGCCAACCCCCGACACAGTTGAAAATCTGTATATAACTTGCTTTTTTTAAGGTAATCTCTCCACCCAACGTGGGGCTGGAACTCATGACCTCTCTCTCTCTCAAATAAATACATCTTAAAAAAAAAAAAAGATTTTATTTTTAAGTAATCTCTATACCTAATGTGGGGCTCAGACTTACGACCCTGAGATCGAGAGTTGCATGCTGTACTGACAGAGCCAGCCAGGCACCCCATATATAACTTTTGACTCCTCAAAAACTTAACTAGTAACAGTCTTCCATTCATCAGAAGAAGCCTTTATTTTAAGATTTTATTCATTTATTTGACAGGGGGAGAGGGAGGGAACACAAGCAGGGGTAGTGGGATAGGGAGAAGCAGGCTTCCCGCTGAGCAGGGAGCCCAATACGGGGTTCGATCCCAGGACCCTGGGATCATAACCTGAGCCAAAGGCAGACGCTTAACGACTGAGCCACCCAGGTGCCCCTGATCAGCAGAAGCCTTACCAATAACATAAACAGTTGATAGACACGTGTTTTGTACATACATGTATTATATACTGTATTCTTAGAATAAATCCAGCTAGTGAAAGGAAAATATGAAGAGAATCATAAAGGAAAGAAAATACATTTACAATACGGTACTGTATTTATCAAAAAAATCCATTTATAAATGGACCTGCACAGTTCAAACCCATCTTGTTCAAGGGTCAACTGTATCTATTTTATATATACATGAATACTACCACATCATCTTTTTTTTTTTTTTTTTTTTTTTAAAGTAGGCTCCACACTTTTTTTTTTTTTTTTTTTAAAGTAGGCTCCACACCCAACATGGAGTCCAACTCAGGGCTTGAACTCACAACCCTGAGATCAAGAGTCAGACACTTAACCAGCTGAACCACCCAGGCACCCCTCTATTTTTCTTAAATCAGGTTTATTAAATTATAATTTATATCAATATGAGTCATTCTCTTAACTGTATAATTGTATGAGATTTGACAAATGCATGCAGTTATATAACCACAATTAAGACTTAGAACAATTCCATTAGCCCCCAAAATTTATGCCCCTTTTTAGTCAACCCCTATGTCATCCCCAGCCTCTGGCAACATGAGATATATTTTCTATCCTTATAGTTTGCCTTTTCTAAAATGTCATATAAATAGAAGCATAAAAGAGATAATATTGACTCTGCTAATGTTGAAATTCCAAAACAATATGCCAAATGACTTTGTTTAAAAGCTTTCGATTTATTTGAAATATGCTGTTTATGTATCGAGGTTTACAACTGGGATCAGAACTGGAATAAATGTTGGTAGTCTGAGGGTTTTTCCTGGTAATTAGGTTCCTCTTGTATTTCATAGATCTTGTATGCGTAATCCTATGGAAAACATTATGAAAATAGTGAAAGGAATAGGAGAGACTTTCTGCCAACACTATACTCAATCAACAGATGAACAGCCAGGATCACACATAGGTAAGAAGACAAAACTAAAGTTGACATAGCATTGAAAGTAGACAGATTGGCCCTAAAAAGTAGAAATTAAATTTTTTTCTTTCCCAGCTATTCTTAATGTATGAGATTTAAGTTTATATAAAAGTTTTGTTCTTTTTTTCTTAACAGCTACATTTCATTAACACATATTTTCCCTTTTATTCCCCTCCCTAGACTTTGCTGTAAACAGACTAAAGCTTGCAGAAATTTTGTATTATAAAATATTAGAGACTGTAATGGTTCAGGAAACACGAAGACTTCATGGAATGGACATGTCAGTAAGTAAATCCACTCTACCAGCCACTGGCAAGGTCTAAAACTTCCTAAGCCTGAAAGCAGTGTTGAGAGCCTGCGTAATGGGTCTTGGTAATCAGCAGTTAATAGCAGACTTAGCCAGTATGATTTGCTAGTTGGCCTTATTTGTCTTTTGCACATCCAGAGCTAGCCATCTCTAGGTAGAAATGTAAAATACATGAAATTCATCTCTGGTACACCATCAGTATCCTTTCCCTTCAGGTCCTTTTTTTGTCCTTGCTGCTAATAATGAGATGCCCCTCCCCAACTGTTAACCCAACTGATAATTAAGATATTTGCCCATACCTCCCAGGGATTTTGGAGGAATAAAATGCTTGTTAAAAAATTGCTTTGTGGGGTGCCTGGGTGGCTCAGTCGGTTAAGTGTCAGACTCTTTTTTCTTTTTTTTTAAAGACTTTATTTTATTTTATTTTATTTGACAGAGAGAGACACAGCGAGAGAGGGAACACAAGCAGTGGGAGTAGGAGAGGGAGAAGCAGGCTTCCCACTGAGCAGGGAGCCCAATGCGGGGCTCCATCCCAGGACCCTGGGACCATGACCTGAGCCTAAGGCAGACGCTTAACGACTGAGCCACCCAGGCGCCCTAAGTGTCAGACTCTCGATTTCAGCTCACATCATGATCTCAGGGTCTGAGATAGAGCCCTGCATCGGGCTCCGTGCTGAGCATGGAGCCTGCTTGGGATTCTCTTTCCTTTTTCCACCCCTCCCTGCTCGCACTCTCTCTCTCTCTCAAAAATAAAAAAAATTGCTTTGTTTTCTTTGAACATTGATAACACTGGCTGCTCTCTCCAATAGCTATGTAAAGGAATGTTTCTAAAAAGTCAATGCTGGGGTGCCTGGCTGGCTCAGTTGGTAGAGCATGTGACTCTTGATCTCAGGGTTGTGAGTTTGAGCCCCACATTTGGTGTAGAGATTATTTAAAAAATAAAATATTTATAAATAGGGGTGCCTGGGTGGCTCAGTTGGTTAAGCGACTTCCTTCGGCTCAGGTCATGATCCCGGAGTCCCGGGATCAAGCCCCACATCAGGCTCCCTGCTCAGCAGGGAGTCTGCTTCTCCCTCTGACCCTCCCCCCTCTCATGTTCTCTCTCTCATTCTCTGTCTCTCAAATAAATAAAATCTTTAAAAAATATATAAATAGTCAAAGCTGTTGGGGTACCTGGCTGGCTCAGTTGGTAGAGCATGTGACTCTTGATCTTGGGGTCATGAGTTCAAGCCTGCTGGGCGTAGAGCTTACTATAAATAAGTAAGTAAATACATGCATACATATATACATACATACAGTTTATAAAAACTCAAAACTCTTATATGATCTTTTGGTTTCCTCCTCCTCCTTGTCACTCTTGGAGTCCTCTGACTTTCACTTCCGATAGGAACAGGTTGATGTCGAGGGGTGCTTCGTAACTAATGTAATAAAATTTCTCTGTTTTCATTCTGGAAATTTTTATCTCTCTTCTGTGTTGGTCCCCCTTTTTCCTGGATTCCATGGCTTTCTCTTTTGTGAGAATCCTATTTGACAAAGCATATGTTTCCATAACTTCCTGAGAAGAAGTAAATTTTCAACTTTTTATTTTGAAATAATTACAGATTCATAGAAAATTACAAAAGGTACAGAGAGGTCCTATGTAGTCAATTGCCCCCAGTGGCTACATTTTACATGATACAATATCAAAACCAGGAAATGAACATTGGAACAATCTACGTGTCTTCCTCTTCACCATTGCGTCACTTGTAGGTTAGTGCACCCGCCACCAAAATCAAGATACTGAGTTGTTCTGTTATCACAATGATCTCCCCTCATGCTACCCTTTTGTAGTCACACTCATTCCACTTACGCTCTATATGAGTTCAGTTGTTTTAAATTTGTTGAGGTTTATTTTATGACCCCCAGTGTGTATTCTGTTGTTGTTGGCTGGAGTGTTCTGTAAATGTTAGTTCTCTAGTGTTGCTTGATGGTGGTGTTGACCTCTGTATCCTTGCTGATTTTCTGTCTAGTTCTATCAAGTGTTGAGAGAATGATATTGAAGTCTCCAAATGTAATTATAGATTTATCTGTTTCTCCTTTCAGTTTTTTTTTTTTTTTTAAGATTTTATTCATTTGACAGAAGGACACAGCGAGAGAGGGAATACAAGCAGGGGGAGTGGGAGAGGGAGAAGCAGGCCTCCCACTGAGCCGGGAGCCTGACACGGGGCTTGATCTCAGGACCCTGGTATCATGACCTGAGCTGAAGGTAGACGCTTAACAACTGAGCCACCCAGGTGCCCCTCTTTTTTTTTTTTTTTTTAAGATTTTATTTATTTATTTGACAGAAAGAGACACAGCGAGAGATTTTTTTTTTTTTTTTTAATGGGAGAAGCAGGCTCCCCGCTGAGCATGGAGCCCGACGCGGGGCTCGATCCCAGGACCCTGGGATCATGACCCGAGCCCAAGGCAGACACTTAATGACTGAGCCACACCCAGGTGCCCCTCTTTTTTTTTTTTTAAGATTTTATTTTTAAGTAATCACTCCACCCAGTATGGGGCTCGAACTCACAACCCCAAGATCAAGGGTTGCACGCTTTACCAATGAAGCCAGCTAGGCGCCCCTCTCCTTTCAGTTGTATTAGACTTCTTAAAATCCATATATTTTGATGCTCTGCTGTTTGATACATACACATTGAGGATTGCTATGTCTTCTTGGTAATTGATCCTTTTATCATGAGATGATGTCCTCTCTGAAGCTTATAACTCTCTTTGTTCCAAAATCTTTTGTTTACATATAGCCACTTCTGCTTTCTTTTGATTAATGTTTACATGGTCTATCTTTTATTTTCAGCCTACATGTATCATTACCTTTGAGGTGAGTTTCTTGTAGGTAGCATATAACTGAGTCATATTTTTTAATCTCTCTTAGTCTCTTTAAATCGGTAAACTTCGGGGCGCCTGAGTGGCTCAGTCGTTAAGCATCTGCCTTCAGCTCAGGTCATGATCCCAGGGTCCTGGGATGGAGCCCCGCATGGGGCTCCCTGCTCCGCGGGAAGCCTGCTTCTCCCTCTCCCACTCCCCCTGCTTGTATTCCCTCTCTCGCTGTGTCTTTCTCTGTCAAATAAATAAAATCTTTGAAAATAAATAAATCGGGGCACCTGGGTGGCTCAGTCATTGGGTGTCTGCCTTCAGCTCAGGTCATGATTCCAGGTCCTGGAATCGAGCCCTGCGTCGGGCTCCCTGCTCCACAGGGAGGCCTGCTTCTCCCTCTCCCTCTCCCCCTGCTTGTGTTCCCTCTCTCGCTGTGTCTCTCTCTGTCAAATAAATAAATAAACAAATCTTTAAATAAATAAATCGGTAAATTTAGACAACTTAAATTTAATTATTGATATGTTAGGGCATAAGTCTGCCATTTTATTTCTTGTTTCTGATTGTTCTCTTTGCTTTTTGTTTTCTTTTTCCCACTTCCCTGTTGATTACTTGAACATTATTTATTTAGTAAGGTCTGTGCCCAATGTGGGTCTTGAACGCATGACCCTGAGATCAAGAGTCACACACTCTACTGACTGAGCAAGCCCGGTGCCCCTACTTGAATATTTTTTAGACTCTGTACAGATTTGTTTAGTTGTTGCTGTAGGTATTACATTATATATGCATAATTTCACAGTCCACTGGTATAGAGAACTACTGGTGTAGTTCAGTAAAATGTGGAAGGCTTAAGTCCCTTTTTAAAAACTCTGCATAAAGGGGGCACCTGGGTGGTGCAGTCGGTTAAGCATCCACTCTTGGTTTCAGCTCAGGTTGTGATCTCAGGGTCATGAGATTGAGCCCCATGTTGGACTCTGCAGTCAGCACAGAGTCTGCTTAAGACTCTCCCTCTCCCTCTGCCACTCCCCCTGCCTCTAAAAATAGATAAATCTTTAAAAACCCTGCATAAAGTCTTTAGATTCACACTTGATTGATAGTTAGTTGTCTGTGTATAGAATTTTAGACTGACAGTCATTTTCCTTTATGATCTTGAAGGCATTGCTCCATTATCTTCTACATTCCAGTGTTGCTAATTAGAAGTCCAATGGCATTCTAATTTTCAGTACTGGTATGTGACGTGTTTTTATTTTCTGGACTCTTAGTATCTTCCTTTTATTTCTTATGTTCTGAAATTTACAATAAAGTCTTATTGTGGTCTTTTCATTTATGTGTTGAGCATTCCTACAGAGTTGCCCTATTAGTCCAGAAATTTATGTCTTGCAGTTCTGGATCATTTTATTGCATTATTTCTTAGATAATGTATTGCCCACTGATTTATCTTTCTGGAGCTCTTATTATTCAGATGAGGAACTTTGTGGATTGATCCTTTTCTCTAATTTTCCATTTCTTTGTTATTTTATTCTACTTCTGAGGATATTTACTCAACTTTTTATCATCTAGTTCTAGTGAGTTTTTTTATGTTAGCTGCATTTTCATTTCTAAGATATCTTTCTTGTTATGTGAGGTTAAATTTAGATTTCTTTTGAAGTTTTCTTATGTTGATTGCATTGTCTCCATTTCTTCTGAGTTTTTTTGTTTTATTTTTTTAAGAAATTTTTTAAAAATTTTAAGTAGGCTCCATGCCCAGTGTGCTCCATACCCAAGAGGGCACGAACTCACAACCCTGAAATCAAGAATCACTTGCACTACCAACTGAGCCCGTCAAACGCCCCTTTAAGATTTTATTTTTAAGTAATCTCTACACCTAGCATGGGGCTCAAACTTATAACCCTAGAATCAAGAGTCGCATGCTCCGCCAACTGAGCCAGCCAGGCACCCTTTTAATCTGTTTTAAACTTTGTCTTTCAGTTGGAAGATTTCCTCATATGTTAGATTATTCTTGGATATCCACATATATTTGAATAAGGCACTAAAAATGAAACATTAATAAACCTTTAGGGTGACTGAGCAGTTTGCTTCAAATCTCTGTATGCAAGAGTGGGAATATAAGTCCAACAGTCTCATGTGAACATGTAGTATTAGGCACCCTCAGCTGTTGGTGTCTTTTTTTTTAAAGATTTTATTTATTTATTTGAGAGAGAGACAGATCTCATGAGCAGGGGGATTTTTTTTTGGAGAAGCAGACTCCCTTCTGAGCAGGGAGCCCGTTTTGGGACTCGATCCTAGACCCTGCGATCATGACCTGAGCTGAAGGCAGATGCTTAACCAACTGAGCCACCCAGGTGCCCAACTGTTGGTGTCTTTAAGGTTCTTCTGAAATATTTCGGTGTCTGTGGAGAAGTGTCTGCTAATCTCTTACCTGAATGTTGGTGTTGTGGAGCAAAACAAGGAAGGGAAACTTGTTCTCATGGTGTGCGGACTTTCACCTAAAACCACAGTCTCTTCTATGCCTGGTGTTCTCAAGCTGCAAGTCTCCCTAGTTCAGTCTTAGAATAAAATTCTCCAAATCCCTGTTGGGATAGACTAGAAGCCTATCATCTGACTCATTAGAGTGGGGGTTGAGTGGGGACCTGAAGAGTTCTAACTACACAGACTTTCATATCATCCATTCACGTTAGCCTCTGCCTAATCCCTACTTTCCATTCTACCTGTGCCCTCAGTTACTGTGTTTTTCCTAGGTTGCATGGAACAAATTCATTAATTCTAAGTGTCTCTCTTCAGGCCCTTGTTTGACCATCTTACTTGCTACTAAGTAATTTGTCACGTATTATAGTTTGCAGTTATAGCTGACTTCTAGTTTTATCCAAGGTAGTTTCTGTCTCTTATTCTTTTTTTTTTTAAAGATTTTATTTATTTATTTATTTGAGAGAGAGAGAATGAGAGATAGAGTTTTTTTTTTTGGTAGTGTCAGAGGGAGAAGCAGACTCCCCGCTGCGCGGGGAGCCCAATGCGGGACTCGATCCCGGGACTCCAGGATCATGACCTGAGCCGAAGGCAGTCGCTTAACCAACTGAGCCACCCAGGCGCCCTCTGTTTCTTATTCTTTTTGTTGATTTGGTGTGATATTTGAAAGAAGGATATCTTTCAAAAAAGAAAAACACTTTTTAAAACTGAAAACGTGGGACGCCTAGGTGGCTCAGTTGGTTAAGCGTCTGCCTTCAGCTCATGTCATGATCCCAGGGTCCTGGGATGGAGTCTCACATCAGGCTCCTTGCTCACCGGGGAGTCTGTTCTCCCTCTGCCTGCTCTGCCTGTTCCCCCTGTTTGTGCTCTCTCTCTGACAAATAAATAAAATCTTTAAAACTGATAACTTATGTTAAATCTTTTATTTTTTTTAAGATTTAGTTATTTATTTTTAGAGTGTGCCCATGAGCAAGGGGGTGGTTGAGGAGGCAGGGGTAGAGGGAGAGAGAGAGAATCTCAAGCACATCCCCACTGAGCGTGGAGCCCAACTTGGGGCTTGATGTCAGGACTCTGAGATCATGACCTGAGCCGAAGCCAAGAGTAGGATGCTTGACCTGCTGAGCCACCCAGGCGCCCCAGCTTATGTTAAATCTTAAAAACTCAGTGGTGAGCAGGACTTTTATCTTCTTAGTAAACTTCTCTGAACTTTTTTAAAGTCTTAGCTGTGACAGTATAATACCTTTGATTTTAGTGTTTTGATTAACCAGTCTTTATGTTGACAAAACAGTTGTCATAAAACTGGTATTTAAACAAATGGAAAAAAATTGAAATAATCCTAATGCTTCCTCTTGATGGGAATATTGACTATTTTCTTATTTCAAAGCAGATTGTTGTTTATGCCTCATTAAATATAAGATCTACCATTGAGCAAGATTATATTTTATAAGAAAACTATCAGTTTGAGAACTCAAATTTTTATCTTTGATAATCTGGTATAATATAATGTACAGAGATTGTTTTAGCTTGTTTCTATAGTCATCTTTATAGAATGGCAAAGGCTGAGATTGCTGAGAAATATTGAACTGTGGTTTTTCTGTTCTCCAAGGTTCTTTTAGAGCAGGATATATTTCATCGTTCCTTGATGGCCTGTTGTTTGGAAATTGTGCTCTTTGCCTATAGCTCACCTCGTACTTTCCCCTGGATTATTGAAGTTCTCAATTTACGACCATTTTATTTTTATAAGGTGAGATGAGAGCTACAATAACATTTAATGTTACCTTGTGTCCTAATTTAAGACTGATGCCACTATTATACTTATTGGCATGATTTAGTTAATATTTTGTCATCTGTGCTACTTTCAAAGTATTGATAGAAAAGTTGGTTTGAAGAGTAAAATTTTTTACCTAAAATATGCCTAAAGTTATGGAAAATACAATTGGAAAGCTTATCCATTTGAATTGCTGACTGAGTGGGGTTTAAATATTTTAGTGACTTAAGGAAAATTGCTTCTGTATATTTACTTCAATGTTGATGTGTGTTTTCAGATTTTCCCTTAGGAAATAAAGGTAATTTTATTCAAGGACAATGTTGGTTTTGGCCTTATCTGATAACAATTCATTTTTATTTGTAACATCCATTTTTCATTCAAGAAGTTAAACACCTTTGTTATCTAAGCACATAAATAATGTATTCTCCTTGAAGAAAAACAAGAAATACATATAAACATAAATATTAAAATCATACATTATAATCCTAAGTATAAATAATAATCAATACTTTTGTGTATATACTTACAGACTTTGTTCTAGAATTTACTCTTATTAAAATGGAATTATTTAAGCAAAATTCCTTTTAAGTACGTTATTCATTCTGTTCTTTTGAGCTATTGGGAAAAATAGTCTGAGAAGGAGCAGTAAATTCAAAATAGCACTAGACTTGGAACCCAAGACCTGAGTTCTTCTGCTGTTGGACTATTGACCAGTTTCCATCTATCATTGCCTCATTTTTCCATGTATACAAAAAAACATAAAAAGTAGAAATGTATGTGAAAGCATTTTGAAGATCTTAAAAACTCCTTTATAAATTAAAATATATTAATAAGCCACTGAGTCACAGTTCAACGATATCATTGGTTCTGTGTCATCATAAGACCAAAGCTAGTCATACATGCAAGCCCGGTATAGAAATGACTATTTGAGACTACGTTACCTTTGCAATTTTTTCTTTACCAGGTTATTGAGGTGGTGATCCGCTCAGAGGAGGGACTTTCCAGGGATATGGTGAAACACTTGAACAGCATCGAAGAACAGATTTTAGAGAGTTTAGCATGGAGTCACGATTCTGCACTGTGGGAGGCTCTCCAGGCTTCAGCAAACAAAGTTCCTACCTGTGAAGAAGTGAGTCACGGCAAGGGGGATAATCATTTAAAAAATAACAGCTTGTAGGGGCGCCTGGGTGGCTCATTCGTTGAGCGTCATTCGTCTGCCTTTGGCTCGGGTCATGATCCCAGGGTCCTGGGATCGAGCCCCGTGTCAGGCTCCCTGCTCCATGGGAAGTCTGCTTCTCCCTCTCCCACTCCCCCTGCTTGTGTTCCCTCTCTTGCTGTGTCTCTCTCTGTCAAATAAATAAATAAAATCTTTAAAAAATAAAAATAAAAACAGCTGTATTGAGATATAAATCACATACCACACAATTCATCCATTTAAAGTATACAGTTTAGGGGCATCTGGCTGGCATAGTCAGTAGAGCATGCAACTCTTGATCTTGAGGTAGTGAGTTTGAGCCCCACGCTGGGTGTGGACACTATGTAAAAATTAAAATAAAATAAAAAACCCAAACAAGGGGTGCCTGGGTGGCTCATCAGTTAAGCATCTGACTCTTGATTTCAGCTTAAGTCATGATCTCAGGGTCGTGCTCAGGAATCTGCTTGAGATTCTCTCCCTCTCCCCCCACTTGCATGCACTCTCTCTCTCTCAAATAAATAATTAAAAAAAATACAATTTAGTGTTTAGTACATTCATATATAGGTACAGCCATCACCTCAACAAGTAACTGTACCCTTTAGCTGTCACCTCCTTTCCCCCCCTTCCTCTCCCTAGCCCTAACCAACCAGTAATCTACTTTCTGTCTTTATTGATTTGTCTATTCTGGACATTACATATATGTGGAATCATAATATGTGGTCCTTTGTGACTCGCTTCTTTCACTTAGCATAATGTTTTCAAGAATCATCCATGTTATAGGGTATATTAGCACTTCATTCCTTTTCATGGCTTAATAATATTCCATTGCATAGATATATCATTTTGTTCCTCCATTTATTAATTGATAGACATTTGGGTTGTTTCAGCCTTTTATTTCTGTGATAGTCCTGCTATGAACATTCAGGCACAAGTTTTGTGTGGACCTACATTCTCATTTTTCTTGGGTATATATCTAGGAATGGAATTGCTGGGTCATGTAGTAACTCTGTTTAACTCCAGTTTGGGGGCACTGTCAGACTCTTCTCAAAGTGGCTGAACCATTTAACATTCCCACCATCAGTGTATGAAGACTCCAGTTTCTTCACATCTTCTCTAACACTTACCTTCCCCCCCACAACACTTACCTTTTTTATTCTAGCCATTAGTGGGCATGAAGTAATATCTCGTGGTTTCTATTTGCATTTCCCTGATGGGTAATGATGTTCAGTGTCTTTTCATGTGCTTATTGGCCATTTATATATTTTCTTTGGCGTAATATCTATTCAAAACTATTGCCCATTTTTTAATTGGGTTTTTTTTATTATTGAATTATAGGAGTCCTTTATATATTGTAGATACAACTCCCTTATCTGATATGATTTGCAAAACTTCCTTTGTTGTCTTTTTTACTTTTTTTTTTTTAAGATTTTATTTTTAAGTAATCACTACACCCAACATGGGGCTCGAACTTACAACCCTGAGATCAAGAGCCATATGCTCCATCAACTGAGCCAGCTAAGCACCCCTTTGATAAAGCCTTTTGGAAAACAGAGCTTTTAATTTTGATGATCTGTTTATCTGTTTTTTTCTTTTATATTGTTGGTGCTTTTGAAGTCATATCTAAGAAGCCCATTAATTTTATCAGGTTTTTCAAATGTCTATGTAAAAAATTAAACATTTTTCATTAGTAGTAGTTAAAATTGAAAAAAATCAGAAGTTTGTACCTAATACAAGTGACACATTTCAGTTTAGTGTCAGGTGAGAAATGGAGTTTTTTCCCTTTTACCTCTGTGTTGCTCTTTTGTAACTCCTGTCTTTTCATCCTTATTTGCTTTTCTGTGTCTCCTTATACTTCATGAAACCTGATGAATTTTTCTCTAATTCCAAATTACTGGAAGGACTATCCAAGACCAGAAAGAACTAAAAAGAAGATGATTTCTTGAAAATCTTGAAATCTCTCTTCCATGCATTTTGGACTTTTGCAGCAAACTGGGCAATCTTTCATATTCATCAATATTTCCATTGTAGAATCCCTTGAGAAAGTGAAAAAAAGCTCTGAACTTGAAGAAAGAGGGTTTGGGTTGAAGCTCTTGCTCTGTTACTTAATAGTAGTGTATCCTTGAGCAGATTTCATATTTTGAGCCTCTATTTTCTCATCCTTAAGTGGAAATAGTGCCTACCTAATTGGTTTGCTTTTAGAAGTAGTCGTTAAACTTAAGTAGATAAATTATAAGATTAAGTGAGATATATTTAACAATTATTAACTATTGAGCACTTTATGCAAGTTGTTCTATTTTGTGAAAAAGAAGAGAAATAAAACATTTAAAGTAGTTAAAAAGACTTTTTTCTCAGGGCACCTGGGTGGCTGAGTCGGTTAAGCGTCTGCCTTCAGCTCAGGTCATGATCCCAGGGTCCTGGGATCGAGCCCCGTGTCGGGCTCTTGCTCAGTGGGGAGTCTGTTTCTCCCTCTCCCTCTGCCTGCCACTCCCCCTGCTTGTGCTCTCTCTCTCTCTCTCACTCTTTCTGTGTCAAATAAATAAAATCTTTAGAAAAAAAAGACTTTTTTCTCATTTTCCTGTTACAGGTTTTCATTAGTGGGTCGATCTATATGTAAAGCAAAAGATTTTTGTTTTTTACAGGTTATATTCCCAAATAACTTTGAAACAGGAAATGGGGGAAATGTACAGGGACATCTTCCCATGATGCCAATGTCTCCTCTAATGCATCCAAGGGTCAAAGAAGTTCGGACTGACAGTGGGAGTCTTCGAAGGGGTAGGTTCAACATGGGGAAAACAATGAACAAAATAACAAAGATAATTTTCTTGAAGAAAATATCAAGTCTTGATAATATATTATTATGAAATTAATTTCTTTGTCAGGATTTAAAAGGGGGCTTATAAAAAATAATAAAAATTAAAGGGGCACCTGGGTGACTCAGTCAATTGAGTGGCCGACTCTTGGTTTTGGCTCAGGTCATGATCTTGGGGTCCTAGGACTGAGCCCCTCATTGGGCTCCATGCTCAGCACAGAGTCTGCTTGTCCCTCTCCCTCTGCTCCTCCCCCCACTCATGCTCTCACTCTCTCTCTAATAAATAAATAAATAAATAAATAAATAAAATCTTTAAAAAAGAATTTTTTTTTTTTTATAAAAAAAAGGGACTTCTGCCAACACCCTTGTGTGGCCCATTGTATATTTTTTTTTTTTTATGTAATAAGATTTTCTTTTTTTTAAGATTTTATTTATTTATTTGACAGAGAGAGACAGTGAGAGAGGGAACACAAGTTTTTTTTGTAGGAGAAGGAGAAGCAGACTTCCCGCTGAGCAGGGAGCCCAGTGCAGGGCTCGATCCCAGGACCCTGGGATCATGACCTGAGCCGAAGGCAGATGCTTAACGACTGAGCCACCCAGGCGCCCATTTTACTTTTTTTTTTTTTAAGATTTTATTTATTTATTTATTTATTTGAGAGAGAGAATGAGAGAGCACAAGAGGGAAGAGGGTCAGAGGGAGAAGCAGACCCCCCACTGAGCAGGGAGCCCGATGTGGGACTTGATCCCGGGACTCCAGGATCATGACCTGAGCCGAAGGCAGTCACTTAACCAACTGAGCCACCCAGGCGCCCTGAATTATTACTTTTTTAAAGTAATCAGTCATTCATGTTTAGAGCAATGAAAAAATAGTAAAAAATACTTAGTACAGTAAAATTTAAAGCACTGGAAACATTGAGAATGAAAGTGGTTTGTTTTTTAAAAACTTACAAAGAATAGTTTAAACAGTGGTTGCGACCTCCTATAGGAGAAGTATTATAAATTATGATAAATTATAATTTATGATACTGAATGAGCATCTTTTCTGTGCCTTGGTGAACTGTCACATTCCTTTCTTTTTTTTTTAAGGTTTTATTTATTTATTTGACAGAGACAGAGCAAGAGAGGGAACACAAGCAGGGGGAGTGGGAGAGGGAGAAGCAGGCTTCCTGTGGAGCGGGGAGCCCGATGGCAGGGCTTGATCCCAGGACCCTGGGATCAAGACCTGAGCCGAAGGCAGACGCTTAATGACTGAGCCACCCAGGCACCCTTAAATTTATTAGTTGTTCACTGTAGCTTTTCCGCTACTGTGCTAGGAAAAGATAATTTGAAGGGGTTTGCAGCTAATTTCATGGCTATAATGTGAGTCCTGTATTAAAATGCCAGCTTTGAACATTCCTAGTCAGATTCAAGGGCTGCCTTGGATTTCTTGTGTGTAAGAGATCTAGGTAGGCTCCTGTTAAGGGATAATGGGAGCTACAATAGAACTTTATACTTTCTACTGAGGTTGGAAAATCAGAGCTGCTTTCATAAGCCCCAGAATTACGGAGATTTTTATTAAACCATGACTATTTTTCCACTCACCTCATTAAGACAGAGAGCTGTCAAATCATTGTCAGAAGTAATCTTTATAACTTGTAAGCATGTTTTGTAAATAGATGATATGGCTAATTATCTAATGAGTGTAAAAATAATGAAATGCTTTTACTTTATTTTTTTAAAGATTTTATTTATTTGACAGAGAGAGAAACAGCGAGAGAGGAAACACAAGCATTTTTTTTGGGAGAGGGAGAAGCAGGCTTCCTGCTGAGCAGGGAGCCCGATGTCGGGCTCGATCCCAGGATGCTGGGATCATGACCTGAGCTTAAGGCAGACGCTTAACGACTGAGCCACCCAGGCGCCCCACTTTATTTTTTTTTTAAATATTTATTTACTTAAGTGATCTCTACACCCAATGTGGGGCTCGAACTCAAGACCCTGAGATCAAGAGTCCCATGCACCATCGACTGAGCCAGCCAGGTGCCCTTAAATGCTTTCACTTTATTTTTATTTATTTTTTTTAAAGATTTTATTATTTTTTTAAAGATTTTATTCATTTCTTTGACAGAGACACAGCGAGAGAGGGAACACAAGCAGGGGTAGTGGGAGAGGGAGAAGCAGGCTTCCTGCTGAGCAGGGAGCCCGATGTGGGGCTCCATCCCAGGACCCTGGGATCATGACCTGAGCTGAAGGCAGATGCTTAACGGCTGAGCCACCCAGGCACTCCAAATGCTTTCACTTTAAAAACGTAATATACGTGGGACACCTGGGTGGCTCCGTTGGTTAAGCATCTGTCTTCGGCTCAGATCATGATCTGAGGGTCCTAGGACTGAGTCCCGCATCGAGCTCCTTGCTCAGCAAGAAGCTTACTTCTCCCTCTGCCTGCTGCTCCCCCTGCTTGTGCTCTCTTTCTCTCTGGCATATAAATAAATAAAATCTTAAAAAAAAGGGGGGGGTGGAGAAAGCATCGTATATGTGTGCCTGGCTGGCTCATTCGGTGGTGTGTGAGTTCGAGCCCCATGTTGGGTGTAGAGATTACCTTTAACAAATAAAAAATAAAGGGGCACCTGGGTGGCTCAGTTGGTTAAGTGTCCAACTCTTGATTTTGGCTCAGGTCATGATCTCAGGGTCATGAGATCGAGCCCTGCTTCTGCTCTGTGTTGGGCATGGAGCCTGCTTGGGATTCTCCCTTTCCCTCTGCCCCCCGCCGCTACATGCACATGCTTGCTCGCTGGCTTTCTCACGCGCGCGTGTGCTCTCTCTCTCTCAAAAAAGTAAAAATAAAAATAAAATAAAAGTATATCATATACCTGTAAAGAAACAATGGGTTGGGCAAAGTGAGGAAGGATTATGGAAAAAGATGTAGGGTTGTAAGGGTCTAGGAGAACCTTTGCACTTGGTAGAAAGTGAAGGCTGCTCCTTTGGAAGGATAGCACTGAAAATAGATAGAATCCATAACCTTACTTTCTTTTTTATCAACATACTACTGCCAACCCTCAGATTAAGGCAAGTTAAACAGAATCATATCACCTTTACTCATCTTTATCCTCTAGTGAGCTTACGAAAGATGATTCTGTATCTACTAAATTAGAAAGCCATAGTACCTTAAACTGCTTAAGTGTGGGCATGTGGGAGGAGGCAAACTGTGAACCAAATCACTGATTTACCTTCTTCTCAGATGTTATTTACTACATAAAATTAGAGGACAGAAGCTAACTGGACTACTTCAATTTAGTGGTCACCTCATTCTACCTCTCAATTTCTACCTTACCCTTAATGTTCTGCTCCTTGAATAGTAGGAAGGGGTTCAAGAAACCAAGAAGATGAGCTATCATAATTTTCACATGTAATGACTTTTTCCATGCCTCTTTCACCTTTATATTCCATGAAGACAGAAGCCATGTTATTTACTGCTAAATCCCTACTTCTTAACATAGTAACTCAATGTCTATTTTTTGAATGAATGAACCTGATTTATTATTTTGGAATATGTATCAAACTTTTAAATTTATTTTTCTCTCTATTAGATATGCAACCATTGTCTCCAATTTCTGTCCATGAACGCTACAGTTCTCCTACTGCAGGGAGTGCTAAGAGAAGACTTTTTGGGGAAGACCCCCCAAAGGAAATACTTATGGACAGGATCATAACAGAAGGAACAAAATTGAAAATTGCCCCTTCTTCCAGCATTACTGCTGAAAATATATCAATTTCCCCTGGGCAAAGTCTTCTAACTATGGCCACAACCATAGTCACAGGAACAACGGGACATAAAGTTACAATCCCATTGCACGGTAACATTTTAATGCATTTATTTTATATTTTTTCTGAATTAGTTAATAATTTAAGATTTGTCTTGCTGGATTGGATCACATGGCCTTTTTATTCCAGTTTCTTTTGAACCTATACTATTTTTTTCACATTTTATAAATTTACCACCCTTTTTGTTAGGACTTATTTTATTTTCTTATGTGAGCTTTACAAATGAGTTACAAGAGTTTTGTTTCTTGATTAAAAACATCTCCTTAAGAGCTCAAAAGAAAGCAATATTGTTTCAGAGCAGAAATAGAAAACAAGAGTGCTGTAACCTAGAATTACTATTTTTGTGGCTTTCTTCTCCTTTTCTAACCTATTCCTATGTTTATACACATAGATAGATAGATAATAGATAGATAGATAGATAGAGATAGAGAGATAGAATTGACAACCTTTCTGGAACACATGCTGCTTATTTCTAAAATTGAAAACTCTTGCTTATACATTTAGGTATCGCAAATGATGCTGGAGAGATCACACTGATACCAATTTCCATGAATACAGCTCAGGATTCCAAAGTCGAGAGTCCTATATCACTTACTGCTCAGTCATTAATTGGTGCTTCTCCGAAACAGACCCATCTGACTAAAGCACAAGAGGCACATCCAACTGGAATAAGCAAACCAAAGAGAACTGGGTCTTTAGCACTGTTTTATAGAAAGGTATGTGATTTTATGGCATCCAAAAGATCTAATTTGGGGTGCCTGGATGGCTCAGTCAGTAGAGCATGTGACTCTTGATCATAGGGTTGTAAGTTCAAGCCCCATATTGGGTGTACAGATTACTTAAAAATAAAATATTTTAAGGGGCGCCTGGGTGGCTCAGTCGGTTAAGTGTCTGCCTTCAGCTCAGGTCATGATTCCAGGGTCCTGGGATCGAGCCCCACATCTGGCTCCTTGCTCAGCGGGGAGCCTGCTTCTCCCGTTGCCTCTGCCGCTCCCCCTGCTTGTGCTCTCTCTCTCTCTCTCAAATAAATAAATAAAATATTTTAAATAAAACTAAAATTACCTCACTCTCTCTCTCTCTGAAAGATTGAGTAACAGAGCAGCTTTAGCCTTCTTTTGTGTGTATGTAGTAAAATATATATAAAATTTATCATTTTAACCATTTTTAGCGTACAGTGAAGTGTCATTAAGTACATTCACATTGTCGTGCAGCTTTCATCATCATCCATCTCCAGAACTTTTTCATCTTCCTAAACTGAGACTCTGTTCCACTTAAAATAATTCCCCATTCTTCTTCCCACCACCAGTTCCTGGTAACCACCATTCTGCTTTCTGTCTCTAGGAATTTGGCTACTCTTGGTACCTCATATAAGTGGAATCAAACAATATTTATGTTAATATTATATTAAATTAGTATCATTATTAATATAATTAATATTATATTAAAACAGGTTTATTCCACTTAGCATAAGTCGTCAAGATTCATCCATGTTGTAGCATGGTTCAGAATTTCCTTTCTTTTGGGCTTCTGGGTGGCTCAGTTGGTTAAGCTACTGCCTTCAGCTCAGGTCATGATCCTAGAGTACTAGGATCGAGTACCACGTCGGGCTTCCCTGCTCAGTGGAGAGCCTGTTTCTCCTCTGACCGCCCCGCCCCGCAGCCTCCCCCACCCCTGCTCTCTCTCTCTCACTCTCAAATAAATCTTTAAAAAAAGAATTTCCTTCCTTTTTAAGGCTGAGTAATACCCATTGTATGTATATAATACCCCATTGTATGTACATTTTGTTTATCCATTCATCTGTAGGATGAACATTTGCAGTGTTTCTACCTTTTGGTTATTGTGAATAATGCTGCTGTGAACATTAATGTACAAATACCTATTCAAGTCTCTGCTTTCAATTCTCTTGGGTTTATACCCAGAAGTGGAAAAGTAATCCCGAATTTAATTTTTTGAGGAACTATCATACCATTTTTCACAGTGCCTGCCCCATTTTATATTCCTGCTACAATACATGGGGTTCCAAGTTCTCCACATCCTTGTCAACACTGTTTTCTGTTATTTTTGATAGTAGTCATCCTAACGAGAATAAAGTGGTATCTCATAGTTTTGATTTGCATTTCCCTAATTATTAGTGATGTTGAGCATCTTTTCATGTGCTTATTGGCCATCTGTCTGTCTTCCTTGGAGAAAGATTTATTTAAGTCCTTTGCCCATTTTTTATTTGAGTTTTGCTGCTGTTGTATTGAGCTGTAGTTCTTTCTTTATATATTCTGGATAAGAATCCCTTATCAGATTTATGACTTGGAAATGTTTTCTCCCATTCCAGGGGTTGCCTTTTAACCATGTTGATAGTATCCTTTGATGCACAGAGGTTTCTAACTTTGATGAAGTTCAATTTATCTATGTTTTGTTTTACTGTCTTTTGCTTTTTGTGTCATATCCAAGAAATCACTGACGGTTCCAAAGTCATGAAGCTTTTCCCCTGTTTTCTTCTAAGAGTTTTATAGTTTTAGCATTTGTGTTTAATTCCTTGACCCATTTTGAGTTAATTTTGTATGTGGTCTGACGTGAGGTTCTAGCTTCATTCTTCCGCATCCATTCTGTCAACACTGAAAAGACTGCCGTTGAAAAGACTGCCGTTTCTCCCTTTAATGGTCTTGGCACCATTTTCATAAGCCATTCAACCATATATGTGAGGGCTTATTTCTGGGCTCTTTTCTAAGCATTGTCCTCTTTATGTCTGTCTTTATGCCAGTACTATACTGTTTTGATTATTGTAACTTTGTAGTAAATTTTGAAATTAGGAAATGTGAGCCCTCCAACTTTGTTCTTCTTTTTCAAGATTATTTTGGCTATTCAGAGTCCCTTGAGATTCCATATGAGTTAAGGATGGATTTTTCTTTCTTTTTTTTTTAGGATGGATTTTTCTATTTCTGCAAAAAACATCATGGGGATTTTGATAGGGATTGCACTGAATCTGTAGATTCCTTTGACTAGTGTTGACATCTTATTACCATTACTAAGTCTTCCAGTTCATGAATATGGGACGTCTTTCCATTTATTTGTGTTTTGGGTTTTTTATTTTGTTTTTTGTTTTTTAGTTAACATACAGTGTTTTATTTTATTTTTTTTTAAGATTTTATTTATTTGTCAGAGAGAGACACAGCAAGAGAGGTAACACAAGCAGGGGGAGTGGGAGAGGGAGAAGCAGGCTTCCTGCTGAGCAGGGAGCCCAATGTCGGGCTCGATCCCAGGACCCTGGGATCATGACCTGAGCTGAAGGCAGACGCTTAACGACTGAGCCACCCAGGTGCCCCCAGTGTTTTATTATTTATCTTTAATTTCTTTCAGCAGCATTTTGCAGTTTTCAGTATATACTTTTACCTCCTTGGTTAAGTTGATTACTAAGTATTTTATTCTTTTTCATGATTTTGTAAATGCATTCATTTTCTTAATTTTATTTTTGGATTATTCATTGTTTTTGGTATAGGAATGAAAAAGATTTTTGTGATTTTTTTTTTCTAAGATTTTATTTATTTATTTGAGATAGAGAGCATGAGCATGAGGAGGAGGGAGATAGGGAGGGAGAGAAGCAGACTCCCTGCTGAGCAGGGAGCCTGATGGAGGCCTCTACCCCAAGACCCTGAGATCAGGACCTAAACCGAAGGCAGATGCTCAACCAACTGAGCCACTCAGGCGCCGCATGTGAATTTTTTTTTTCAATTTTTTTTATTTTTTAAGTAATCCCTACACCCAACACCACTTGAATTTATAACCCCGAGATCAGGAGTCACACATTACACTGAATGAGCCAGCCAGGTGCCCCTGTGTGATTTTGTATCCTCCAACTTTGCTGAATTCGTTTCTTACTTCTAACATTTTTTAGGGACTCTTTACGTTTTCTACACCATAAAATCATGTAATCTGCAAACAGATGATTTTACTTATTTTCCTATTTGGATGCCTTTTATTTCTTTTTCCTTCCTAATTGCTCTGGCTAGAATTTCCAGTACTATGTTGAAAAGAAGTGCTGAAATTGGGCATTCTTGTCTCGTTCCTGATCTTAAAGGAAAAGTTTTCTTTGTTTTACTTTGAGTATGATGTTAGCTATGGATTTTTCATATATGGCATTTATTATGTTGAGGTAGTTTTCTTCTATTCCTGATTTGTTGAGTGTTTTATGAAAAAAAGGGTTTTGAATTTTGTCAGACCTCAATTGAGGTAATCTTTCAATTGAGGTGATCTTTTTTTTTTTAAGATTTTATTTATTTTAGAGAAAGAGAGAGCTTGTGTGGGGGGCAGGGGTCGGTGGAAGGAGAAGAGGGAGAGGGAGAAAGAGTCATAAGCAGACTCCACACTGAGCACAGAGGCCCACATGGGGCTCAGTCCCGTAACCCTGAGATCATGACCTGAGCTGAAACAAGGAGGCAGACACTTAACCTACTGTACCACCCAGGCGCCTCTGTCCTATTTTTATTTTTTTATTTTTTTTAAAGATTTTATTTATTTATTAGAGAGCATGGGGGGGGAGGGTCAGAGGGAGAAGCTGACTTCCCGCTGAGCAGGGAGCCCAATGTGGGATTCGATCCTGGGACTGCGGGATCATGACCTGAGCCAAAGGCAGTCGCTTAACCAACTGAGCCACCCAGGCACCCATGTCCTACCTATTTTTAAAGCACTGTCAGCTTCTGATAAGACAGGCAAGTTAATCAGATATTTATAACCAAACGTGACTCTTCTGTAAAATAAATTCCAGAACTGGAAAGATATCTCTCTAGTCTACCCCGCAACTACATGGCTAGCTAGTCGTTCTTAAGAATTGTAAAGGAAAAAGAAGGCACTGTTTTTCAGGGGGGTTTAGCATTTTGATTAGGCTTTAGGACTTAAAAATTTTTTTTAATTAATATTTTTTCTAAATTATCTTTGATGCCAATTTTAAGTTTATTTCCTCTAGTCTTTTGTATCATAATTCTTGAAAGACTTGCCCTTTTCTCTCCTTCCCACTGCCTCCTCTACTCTACCTTCCCAAATCCTACTTCCCCCTTGTGCCTTTCTAAAGCCTGTTTTAAAAACAGAGTTTCAAAATGCAGCTTTTCCCCCATTTATTCCATATTTTTAATTTTCAGAATGACAAATTTTGATCTAAGTGACAAAAATAAAGCTTTAGTTCTGAATTTTTTATTCTGAATCTACTTCAGAATCTTTTTTTTTCTTACCATTTAAATGCAGCTTACTTGATGGGGCACCTGGGTGGCTCAATTAAGCATCTGCCTTCCACTCAGGTCATGATCCCAGGGTCCTGGAATTGAGTCCTACATTGAGCTCCTTGCTTAGCTGGGAACTTACTTCTCCCTCTGCCTGCCTCTCCCCCTGCTTGAGCGTGTGAGCGTGCGTGAGTCCTCTCTCTCTCTCAAATAAATAAAACCTTTATAAATAAATAAATAAAACCTACTTGATATAGATTAGAAGCTAGAAAAATTTTATCCTAAAAGAGAATAGGATGTCTATATCTATAAAGAGCATAAGTGTCCGTGTCTATAATGAATTCAAAATAACCATTCCCTGAGTAAACTGCAGCTATTATCTATGCTGAATTCAGTGTGATGCTGGTGTTCTGTGCCTGAATAGAATTTTCTGTGAATTTTTTGTTAGAATCAGAAGACTTCAAGAGTATGTTTCTTTAACGCATTGGATCAACTCTGTAAAAGATACTTAACTATTATTTAATTACATATTATTTTTAATCTTTTTAACTAGGACTGTATCTTTCATTTTCTATCACAAATATAAAGTTCTAGCCTCTTTCCCACTGCTCTGACCCAAATGGATTCTGTTTATCTCTTGGCCAGCTGGACCAGAAATAAAGGGATAGGATACAGAAAATGAGTTTGCTATAAAATGAATGACTTGTGGCTTTGGAGTCAACCACTCGTCTTTCTACAGATTAGTGTATTGGATAGCTTACATTTGTTTTTAAACTCTAATTTGTGGATTGTTTTCCTGCTAAAGATATTTTTGTATAAGGGGGATGCCTGACTCTTTTTCATTATTTTTCTTAAAGACTTAGTTCAAACAGAATAGTGTGATTTAGGAATACTACAGCAGGGTACCAGTTTTGTTTTGTTTGTTTTTTTTAAGATTTATTTATTTGAGAGAGAGAGAGAGAGCACATGAGAGGGGGGAGGGTCAGAGGGAGAAGCAGACTCCCTGCCGAGCAGGGAGCCCGATGCGGGACTCGATCCAGGGACTCCAGGATCATGACCTGAGCCGAAGGCAGTCGCCCAACCAACTGAGCCACCCAGGCGCCCAGGGTACCAGTTTTTAAAACAGTAAAACATAATGCTTCTTGGATGATTGGAAACCATTTTAGAATCTTGCAGGACCTTCAGGTCATTTGCTTTAGTATCAGTTCATATAAAGATTGTAAAAAATGAAAGGTTCATGGCATTGAACTGAATTTATCCTGATGTACTTAGAAACAACAAAAACAAAAAACCTGGTATCTCATTTACTTCAGTGTTCCATTTATGAGCTCGTGAAAACAATGTAGAATATAGGGGAAGTGTTGTTTTGGGGGGGGTAAAGATTATTTATTTATTTATTTATTTGACAGAGACACAGTGGGAGAGGGAACAGAAGCATGGGGAGTGGGAAAGGGAGAAGCAGGCTTCCCGCTGAGCAGGGAGCCCAATGCAGGGCTCAATCCCAGGACCCTGGGATCATGACCCGAGCCAAAGTAGACACTTAACGACTGAGCCACCCAGGGGCCCCATATAGGTGAAGTTTTTTAAATGGTTTGCTTTCTTTTTTTTTAAGATTTTATTTATTTATTTGACAGAGCGAGCACACAAGCAGGGGGATCGGAAGAGGAAGAGGGAGAAGCAGGCTCCCTGCTGAGCAGGGAGCCCTGTGTGATGCAGGGCTCAGTCCCAGGACCCTGGGATCATGACCTGAGCCAAAGACAGATGCTCAACTGAGTGAGCCACCCAGGTTTCCCATGGTTTTGCTTTCTGACTCATTCTTGAAATCAAACATTTTAGCTCTTGATTATCTGACTTTTTTTATTTTTTAAGATTTTATTTTAAGTAATCTCTACACCCAACTTAGGGCTTAAACCCACAACACCAAGATCAAGAGTTGCATGCTCCACCAACTGAGCCAGCCAGGCACCCCTATTATCTGACATTTTAGACTTTCTAGCAATTTTATCTGAACAAAAAAAGGTGGGGGGGATTTCTGAACACTTGGAAAATTATGTGTTCATATTGGTCATGATGCAAGTAAATCCTGCATTTTAATGTTTCTTACTTTACATAGATGACAGCATAGAAGACATCTTTTCCAAAAGAATTTTTTAGATGGTTTTCTAAAGAGAATTTTGTTTTAACCTACAGTTTTCTGGGATGCCTGGGTGGCGTAGTCGGTTAAGTGCCTGCCCTCGGCTCAGGTCATGATCTCAGGGTCCTGGGATCAAGTCCCGCATCAGGCTCCTTGATCAGCGGGGAGCCTGCTTCTCCCTCTCCCTCTGCCTGCTGCTCCCCCTGCTTGTGCTCACTCTCTCTCTCTCTCGCAAAATAAATAAAATCTTTAAAAAATTATTAAAAAAATAGTAACTTACAGTCTTCTGCCATAGCAGTGAACTAGTACTATAGAACAGAAATTTTATGTAATTTTACATAACATTTATCAACAGCCTAGGTATTTGTTAATCTTGGCCTGAAAGCCCATGTTCATGGTAAGAGATAAATTAGAGAAATTATTTACTATTTTTTTTTGCATCAATGTACTACCTTCCATCTTAGGTCTATCACTTGGCAAGTGTACGCTTACGTGATTTATGTTTAAAACTGGATGTTTCAAATGAGTTACGAAGGAAGATATGGACGTGTTTTGAATTCACTTTAGTTCACTGCCCTGATCTAATGAAAGAGAGACATTTGGATCAGCTGCTCCTTTGTGCCTTTTACATCATGGCAAAGGTAACGTATAAGCTGGGGGAAGCTCTTTGTCCTAGTTACCCATTTTTGAAGCATGAAGTCAAAATTTTTTGCGCTTGATTGTTATTTTGCCTTAAATGCTATACGCCAACACTGCCCACCATTGTTAATTAGTAAACTCCAGCTATTACATCTATTCTCTGAACTCTCCATTTCGTTTTGTAATAATCAGCTTTCCCACATCATAAAAATACATTGGTTATAAAGAAAAGGTCTTAGAGACCATTTGTAATATATGGCTCTCCATATTATTCCTGAGAACAATACCATTTCCATCCCCATCCCTGTGATAACTCTCATCCAATACTTTACAGTAAAATGATCATTATGTTGTAGGCTGGTAACCTAAGCCTAGAGCTGAAAGTAATTTGTTGAAATTATACAATTAATAAATGGCAACCTAGGATTTCCTATTTCATAATTTAATGAATTTATAATTCAAAAAATAGCTTCTATAACATATTGCTCTCTAGTGATTTGTTGCACCACCTCAGAAGAGCATTTTACATTCTAGTTGCTGCAACATTGTATGTTTTCAATCACAAAATAACATATCTTACTTGTTTTTTAAAATTCTGATATATCTGAAACAATCACTTATAACTTTGGTCTGGACCATATTGGCCACACTGGCAATCCTAGTAGGTGTACATAGTTAAGACCTAATTTTTAAGGTTTTTGAGGCAGAGAACATGTTTTCAAACTCCTTTTTGACTCCTCTCTCACAATGCCTTTTTAAATCTCTATACAAAATAGATATCAATAAATGTTATTAACTAATCATTTGTGTTTTCCAGAGAACTATCAGAGTTCAGGCTTTGCCATTTCTAGCCCATCATTATAGAGAACAGGTTTAGTGCTAATGGACTTTAGTGAAGCAGAGGGAAGGAATAAACTTAGTATCCTTTCTGGCCTATTTGTTATTATAAAGTTTACCTTTGTGGGTCACTAATCCATTTTCTTCTGTTTGGCCACCACTGTAACTTTTCTGTCTAAGCATTAGAAACCCTGTAATTTGTCCTAAAATGTTAAAACCTCAACCTATAATAACTGCTCAGCGGTCTTGCGAATCACCACAAGACATTTTCTGTCCTTTAGTGTATAGTTAACTTACTTTTAAATAAGTACTTTAAAAACTAATAACATCAGAGACTGCAGGGTATGCAACAGATCTGAGTTTTCTTGTATCATTCTTTTTATAAAAAGAAGTGCATTTTCAGTAGAGTTATACCATAGCAATATCAGTGCTTTTGATTAATGAAACTATTAGCTGAGTCCCCACAGGCCATAAAGCCTGAACTTTAATGCTAGTACAAATCATAAATGGTAGTGGTTTTTAGTCATGGACTGGCCTGGGGTTAATGGCTTTCGGCAAGGCTGCTCTCAGTGCCAACCTATAATTGAAGTTTTTGTTCAGAGCCATTTTTCTTTTAAGAGCAATTGATAAATGCAGTTTTTATTTTCCTTAGGTAACAAAAGAAGAAAGAAGTTTTCAAGAAATAATGAAAAGTTATAGGAATCAGCCCCAGGCTAATAGTCATGTGAGTTACGTTATTTTTCCTCCTGTCCAAAAATAGATTTATACTGTTTCTCTGTTGACAAGTCATACAAATGGTAAACTTCTTTTATAGCTTTACTGTACTTTAGATTTTTTGGTTTAATGCATACCATTAAACTCTAAAGACAGTTCAGTAAAAGCCAGGAAATTGGCTGTTTCTGACTCATCCATATATTTGCATATACTTCTCACATGTTCTCCTATTCCATTTGTCCATTTGTTCATTTGTTAAATGCAGACATTTGTCACAAAAAATCTGATGAGGGGCACCTGGCTGGTTCAGTCAGTAGAGCATGTGACTCTTGATCTCAGGGTTGTGAGTTCAAGCCCCACATAGGGCATGGAGCTTACTTTTATTAAAAATATATATAATAATAATATTCTCTAATTGTATGAGACTTGATTCCCTAATGTTGTTTAAATCCAATGAAACTTGAGGATTTATTAAGTCCAGCTTCTTTTGCCATCTACTAAGAATCTTAACGTTTTCATCTTTAAATAGATATCAAGCATTTTTAATAATGTTTTATAATAGCCATGGTGAGAATCCTATACAACCTTTGAGTCATGGAAATATAAAATATTAGTCTATTGGCCTGGCACATAGTAAGTATTTAATAACTGTTCTGTCCGTGTTATTATTACTGTAGCTGAAGAACCAAGGTTAGACTATCTTAAGGCTTTGGCCACTGAAGAGCCTGGTTGCTATGCTCTAGGGAGCATAATGGCCTCTTTTCTGGCCTTGGTGATCTGCCATCTTAGGAAGAGAGATGTGGCTGCTCAGATATCCCATGCTCAAGTACTGGTAGTCACACCCCCTTCTAAGAGAGCCCCACATATAGTTTCACTTCTTTACCTAAGCCCCAAAATACAGTGACAGTAATACAGACGTTAGAAGAGCCAGGTACAGGCAATTGTTATATCCTGTGACAGGCTAAGAGTTTCTGGACCCTTCAGAAAAATCCCTCAGCAACAGAGCCTAGAGAGGTCCAGGTTATCCCCAAAGATCATTAAGGTAAAGTTAGTGTGGGTCCAAAATGGACCAAGTCAGAGCTTCCTAAATATCCTTTCAATACCAGTACACATAGGATGACCGGGAATGCATCATGCCTTTCAGCAATATTGGAGGTAGGAAGGAATTTAGGGGAAGGAATGGAAACATTTTCCTGTAGCCCTCCGAAAGGAGATGGAAATGAGATGGGAGCAGGAAAACAAGCCTTAATGAGATCAAATGATTCTCATGTAAGGAATTAAAAAGGAAGAACAAGCTCAGATATTTGAAGTTGCTTTTATTTGACAAAACCTGCTCATCAGTGTTTATTTAGTTGCTACTTACTCAGGTCTTATATTTTGTAAACCCCTACAATGGCATGGTTTAAGTAATAGGCTCTGCTTCCATATCCTCTCTACTAAGACGTTTGTTGTAATCTGCATTTACCAGGCTAATAACATTTTGTCCTTGATTATCACCCATACAGACAAATAGTTTTTCACTGGCATCCTGTTTTGTTCTTATTTTGGTTTTGCTTAACCTGTGCCTCTTTGTGACTTAGCAGTCCTTTTTTCCCAATCTGATGTATAGGTCTATAGAAGTGTACTGTTGAAAAGTATTCCAAGAGAAGTTGTGGCATACAATAAAAACGTAAATGGCGATTTTGAAATGACAGATTGTGGTAAGTTGCCCAATTTAATATTCTATATGTAATATACCATTTCTTTAAGATTTTATTTATTTAAATATCAGAGAGAGAGAGAAAGAGAGCACAAAAGCAGGGGGAGCTGCAGGCTCCCTGCTGAGCAGAGCCCAACATGGGACTTGATCCCAGGACCTTGGGATCATGACCTGAGCCGAAGGTAGACGCTTAATAGACTGAGCCTCCCAGGCATCCCTGTAATATACCTTTGATTACATTGTACATAATGCAGTGGGTGTCAGACAACATGGAGTCAATGATGCAGGTGGGATGGATAATGCATATGTGAATGCATTAGGGAAGAAACAAGTTGGGGATAAATATGGGTCAGGTGCCTCTCTCCAAAGAGGTTGTAAATTAAAACCATTAATTTGTCACCTGTTAGTTGTGTTTTAGAAGAACTTTTGTGTTTTAGAAGAACTAAAGTTGTGTTTTAGAAGAACTAAAACACAAGTTAGTTGTGTTTTAGTCTACTTACATACATCAGTAAGACACATAAAAGGCTCTTAATAAATTTTTAAAATAAATCTGAATTACAGGGAAAGTAAGCAGTGATCAGTGTCAGTGATCTGCCTGGGGTGACAATTAAGGAAATATCTTGTTCATTAATACGTATTTTTCCACCACCAGCAAAGCTGCCACCCTGTTGTTACCACCATGAGGCACTTGAGGCACCCTGTTGTTACCACCATGCTGAGACTTGAGGCCCTCTCGTGCTCTCTATCTCTCATTCTCTCCCTCTCAAATAAATAAAACTAAAATGTTTTTCAAAGAAAGGAAAATCTGGGCGCCTGGGTGGCTCAGATGGTTGGGCGTCTGCCTTCGGCTCAGGTCATGATCCCAGGGTCCTGGGATCGAGTCCCGCATCGGGCTCCTTGCTCAGCAGGGAGCGTGCTTCTCCCTCTCCCTCTGCCTCTCCCCCTGCTTGTTCTCTCTCTCTCTCACAAATGAATAAATAAAATCTTTATTAAAAAAAAAACAAAGAAAGGAAAATCAAATGGTGATTATTCATGTTGGTAAGTTGTGAAAATGCCTCTTCTGCCCTTCTTTTCCTTGTCTCATCTTTCCATTACTTATTGTATACCTATGTGTACATGAGTATTACATGTACCATGATTTATTGAATTCCACAATGTGAGACATTTTTTTTTTAAGAGAGAGAGCGGGGGCGCCTGGGTGGCTCAGTTGGGTAAGCGACTGCCTTCTGCTCAGGTCATGATCCCAGGGTCCTGGGATCGAGCCCCGCATCGGGTTCCCTGCTCGGCGGGAAGCCTGCTTCTCCCTCTCACTCCCCCTGCTTGTGTTCCCTCTCTTGCTGTCTCTCTCTCTCTATTAAATAAATAAAATCTTAAAAAAAAAAAAATAGAGCGAAGGGAGGAGCAGAGGGAGAGGGACAAGTGGACTCCGCACTGAACATGGAACCTGATCCATGTAGTAAGAATAATCTACAACTGGGCGCCTGGGTGGCTCAGTTGGTTAAGCAACTGCCTTCGGCTCAGGTCATAGATCCTGGAGTCCCGGGATCGAGTCCCGCATCAGGCTCCCTGCTCGGCAGGGAGTCTGCTTCTCTCTCTGACCCTCTTCCCTCTTGTGCTATCTCTCATTCTCTCCCTCTCAAATAAATAAATAAAATCTTTAAAAAAAAAAAAAATAATCTACAACTGGGGCACCTGGGTGGCTCAGTCGTTAAGCGTCTGCCTTCGGCTCAGGTCATGATCCCGGGGTCCTGGGATCGAGCCCCGCATCGGGCTCCCTGCTCCATGGGAGGCCCGCTTCTCCCTCTCCCACTCCCCCTGCTTGTGTTCCCTCTCTCCCTGTGTCACTCTCTTTGTCAAAAAATAAAAAAACATTTTTTTTAAAGATTTTATTTATTTGACAGAGACACAGCGAGAGAGGGAACACAAGCAGGGGAGTGGGAGTGGGAGAGGGAGAAGCGGGCCTCCCACGGAGCAGAGAGCCCGATGCGGGGCTCGATCCCAGGACCCCGGGATCATGACCTGAGCCGAAGGCAGACGCTTAACGACTGAGCCACCCAGGCGCCCCAATAAATAAAATCTTTAAAAAAAAAAAGAATAATCTACAACTGCCATTACCAAGCCAATGTGCCTTGGAATAGTGTTCATTTAGGATGGTAGTAGGTGTTACAGGGAAGGGGGACTATGCATAAAAAATTTGAGAAGCATGGAATTAAAATGAATATGTGTTTTTTTCCAGCTGCAAAACTTTTCAGAGCCTTTTTTTTTTAAGATTTTATTTATTTATTTGAGAAAAAGAGAGACAGAGATAGCAAGAGAGAGCACGAGCAGGGAGGAGAGGGAAAAGCAGGCTCCCTGCTGAGCAGGGAGCCCGATGTGGGGCTCGATCCCAGGACCCTGGGTCATGACCTGCACTGAAGGTGACGCTTAACTGACTGAGCCACCCAGGCGCCCCTTCTCAGAGCCTTTAATGTACTAACAAGGATTCTGAATTTCTAAGAGGAGGGTATAATATGTAGCATTTCCTTAACTTACTTGACCGCATAGCTTTTTCCCACCTATTGAGATCCTTCAAAATAGCAAGAGAGGCAACTGGCTGGCTCAGTTGGTAGAACATGTGACTCGATCTTAGGGTCATGAGCTCAAGCCATATGTTGGGCATAGAGCTTACTTAAAAAAAAATAATAATTGGGCGCCTGGTGATGATCCCTGGGTCCTGGGATCGAGTCCTGCTTTGGGCTCCCTGCTTGGCAGGGAGCCTGCTTCTCTCTCTGCCTCTCCGCCCCGCTGCTTGTGCTCTCTCTCTCTCTCTCACACACACATGCTCTGTCTCATGCGCTCCCTCTCTCTCGCTTAAATAAATAAAATATTTAAATAATAATAATAATTTTTTTAAAAATACCAAGGGGGTGCCTGGCTGGCTCAGTAGAAAGAGGATGAGAGTCTTGATCTCAGGATTGTGAGTTCCAGCCCCACACTGGGTGTATAGATTGCTAAAAATAAATAAATTAAAAAAAAAAAAAAGCAAGTGATGCCTGAGTGGCTCAGTCTATTAAGGGTCCAACTCCTGATTTCGGCTCAGGTCGTGATCAAGCCCCACATCGGGCTCCTCACTCAGCAGGGAGTCTGCTTGAGATTCTCTCCCTCTCCCCCTCCTGCCACTCGTGTGCACATATGCTCCCTCTGAAATAAATAAATCTTTAAAAACATAAATAAAAATAAAAAAAAAATAGTGAAAAAGACATCCAAATTGTGACTAAGACCCCTGTAGTTCCCTGGGGCTGCTTGGCCCTTGGACCACGTTTGAGTTTTCTGGTTTTCCTTGGATGAAAGGATGCTTTTATCCTTTGTCTGCAGTGTTTGCAGGCCAGTATATTCAGAATGAGAACTTTTTTTCATATGTTGAATTATTTTTATTTATTTTTTTAAGATTTTATTTATTTGAGAGCGAGATCATGGGGAGGGGGAGGGGCAGAGGTAGAAGCCAACTCCCCACTGAGCAGGGAGCCTGATGCAGGGCTCAATCCCAGGACCCCAGGATCATGACCTGAGCATAGGTAGACACTCAACCAACTGAGCCACCCACCCCTATACTGAATTATTTTTAATTGCCAGTGGTTTCCTTAGCTCCTATAAGCAGATGATTCTTACATGTTCAAGTAGACAATGGTTTGTAATACTCTTCCCAAAGAAAGAGTAGGTTAAAGTTCTGCGTGGTGCGACAAGCTATCCCAGAGTTACACAATAAATACGAAAGCACCTCAAGGCAAGCTATCATTTTATAACTGAGGACACGAACTATAAACTGAGCACCAAGTTTCCTGTTGTGCTTGCGGAAAATAAGGGTCTTAGAACACTTGTCATCCGGCAAGTGTCAACCGAGCCTGGGTGGCTCGGTTGGTTAAGCGACTGCCTTCGGCTCAGGTCATGATCCTGGAGTCCCGGGATCGAGTCCCACATCGGGCTCCCTGCTCAGCGGGGAGTCTGCTTCTCCCTCTGACCCTCTTCCCTCTCGTGCTCTCTCTCATTCTCTCTCAAATAAATAAATAAAATCTTTAAAAAAAAAAAAGAACACTTGTCATCTGCCTTGTATTTGCAGAAAAATAGAACAAGCGATTTATCTTGCTTCTTTCTTCACCTATGAGGGTATGCTTTACCTTTTTAGAGTCTTTCCACCTTTCTCAAAGAGCCATTATGAATATCTGCAGGCCTTTTGTTACCCAAAGCTCATGATTTGCCACTGCCACCCATACTCTGGAGCTCAGTTTAGCTAAATCCCAACCCAGGGCTAGTGCCCCTCTGGCCACCAGTGACAGTGAGCTCAAAAAGGTATGATTGTGTTGGGGCGCCTGGGTGGCTCAGTCATTAAACGTCTGCCTTCGGCTCAGTTCATGATCTCAGGGTCCTGGGATCGAGCCCCACATAGGGCTCCCTGCTCAGCGGGAGGCCTGCTTTTCCCTCTCCCACTCCCCCTGCTTGTGTTCCCTTTCTCGCTGTGTCTCTCTCTGTCAAAGAAATAAATTAAAAATCTTAAAAAAAAAAAAGTATGATTGTGAAAACATTCTTGTTGAAGTAATATCTAGAGAAAAAGAGTAGTAGCCTAAGTTTACATATTTGCATTTCTCAAGATTCCAATTTAATTTATACATAATATAGATGGATTTCTGAACCTTTTCTAAAAACATTAGTTGCTGGGGCGCCTGGGTGACTCAGTCGTTAAGTGTCTGCCTTTGGCTCAGGTAATGATCCTGGGGTCCTGGGATCGAGCCCCACAATCAGGCTCTCTGCTCGGCGGGAAGCCTGCTTCTCCCTCTCCCACTCCCCCTGCTTATGTTCCGTCTCTCACTGTCTCTCTCTCTGTCAAATAAAATCTTTTAAAAAGTAAAATAAAATAAAACAAAAATAAAAACATTAATTGCTTTACATAAAGATTTGTGTTAACTTGATTTTTTTTATGTTGTAGAGAGAGTTGTAATTCAAATCACCACTTTATATATTAAAATGCATCTATCATAACACTGAATTCTTTTAACAGACTTGGAAGATGCTACAAAAACACCTGACTGTTCCAGTGGACCAGTGAAAGAGGAAAGAGGTGATCTCATCAAATTTTATAATACAATATATGTAGGAAGAGTGAAGTCGTTTGCACTGAAATACGACTTGTCAAATCAGGACCATGTGGTATGTTTCATATTTTACTATATGAATATTTATAGTCATAGTTGGAGTACTGTGAGTTTACTTGATAAGCATTTCAGAGGCAAAATGCCACTGATAACATTATATAGGAGAAAAAAAATGCTGGTAATTAGAGAGTGAATAAGGCATTGATACAACACAGATCAGAGGAAATCATGGAAATTTTATCCATACTGTGATTATGTTGCTGGAAATTATGTTAACATATGGGCAAGTACTAGATGAGAATATGGAAAAATGAAATCAATTCTGGTAATTTTTTCTCTTGTTTTTGATTTCTTTTGTTATATTTATATATGAGATAACTGTTTTTCTCAAGATAAAGAGAAAAGGAAATAAATAGACCTGAAAAATTAATAGAGGCAACACTAAGACATTTTTGTGCAGATTCAGAAGTACCAGAAAGCCTGTGAAAGTATTACCAGTGTATAAGCTGAGGTTGGTTCCCACGAGAGCAGACATTAGTTGTAGAGGGACCTAGCAGAAACTGCATCTAACTGGTAACCATATATGTGTATTTGTGTCTCTCTCTACATTTCCATCCTTGTCCCTTTCAAGAAATGTGGTCTGTGACTATTCACAAAGGCCATGACTGCTCATTCAATTCCATCGGTTCCACCTCCCCCTATCATGAGTATGTCTGTCATTAGCAAAATTGGAACTAGTTTTATTAGGGGTGCCTAGGTGACTCAGTTAAAGTGTCTCTTGATTTCAGCTCATGTCTTGATCTCAGCGTTGTGAGTTCAAGTTCCACATTGGGCTCCACGCTGGGCATGGAGCCTACTTAAAAAAAAAAAAAAATGAGGGCGCCTGGGTGGCTCAGTTGGTTAAGCGACTGCCTTCAGCTCAGATCATGATCCTGGAGTCTCAGGATCAAGTCCCACATCGGGCTCCCTGCTCGGCGGGGAGTCTGCTTCTCCCTCTGACCCTCTCTGCTCTCATGCTCTCTCTCTCTCATTCTCTCTAATAAATACAATCTTTAAAAAAAAAATGAGTTTTATTAGCTTCAAGTGAAGATGATGAATGAAATTATTAATTAAGGAGCCATCTCCATTTATCCCTAGAATGGAAACATTGTACAGAATATTAAAGGAAAGTGTAATACCTGCTCCCCTAACTCTATTTCTAAATCATTTGCATTTCAATATAAAGTCTTAACCCTTTCATTAATAGATTTGTTCCATGTTGGACTCATCCTCCTGGCTCATAGAGTTGTCTCTCTTTTTTTCCCTCTGCTACTGCTTGGTTATAGTGCGTGCGTGTGTGTGTGTAGAGAGAGATTATTATTGTGTTAGGACATTGATTACTTTGCCTCTGCTTTGTGTGCATGAACAAGAGGTTCCTGTGCTGCTAGCTTACCACTTCTGGGTGTCTCAGAATTCTTCAGGAGTTCCTAAAAGATGCAGGGAAATAAATTTTAGTTTATCTGTTAGTAATTGTTGAAAAACAAGGAGGTAATGGACCTGTCTTTGCCTTTTTCAGCCATAAATAAACTCTTTAAAGTATAGCTGACACCTAACTAAGAAATGCCAATAAGAAAAATATGGAGAGCACCTGGGTAGCTCAGTCGGTTAAGCGTCTGCCTTCTTCTCAGGTCATGATCCGGGAGTCCCGGGATCGAGCCCCGCATCAGGCTCCCTGCTCAGTGGGGAGTCTGCTTCTCCCTCTGCCCTTCACCCCACCCATGCTCTCTCTCTCTCATTCAAATAAAGTCTTTTAAAAAAAGTAACACATACCATTTTTAAAAAAAAAATAAAAATATGGGGGTGCCTGGCTGGCTCATTTGGTAGAGGATGCAACTCTTGATTTTGGGTTTGGGAGTTCAAGCTCCATGTTTGGCATGGAGCCTACTTAAAAAAAAAATAAAAATATGGTGGGATTCAAAAAAAGAAACTTACCTTACAAAAATTTACTTTTGGTTATTTCAGATGGAAGCTCCACCTCTCTCTCCTTTTCCACATATTAAGCAACAACCAGGCTCACCACGCCGTATTTCCCAGCAACACTCCATTTATGTTTCCCCACATAAGAATGGGTCAGGCCTTACACCCCGGAGTGCTCTGCTATATAAGTTCAATGGCAGCCCTTCTAAGGTAAGGTACATACAGACTTACTCCAAGACAACCTATGTACATGTGTTAAAAATTGGATTTCAGATGACCAGTTAGTAATCTTTAATCTTGCTCTTTGTCTGCAGAGTTACTACTAATAAATATGAACGGTTACTGTGGCAAGTCTCCAGTGATCAAGAGCAGTGTGTTCAGTTGATATAGTTTAATCCATTACTATTGTTATGATATTAGGGAAGTTCACTGCAAGAGTTCAATGTGTCTCCCGCTTAAGCATGATCTTGAGAAGGGACAAATAAGGCAGCACCTGTAAGTGGTTAGACACAAGGGATATTAACTTTAAAGAAAGGCCTTCAAAGTGAAAGTTCATTTGGTGAATGGGATAGTGAAAAGCCTGAAAATAGAGGCCTTCTCTTATTTACACAAACTGTTCTGTGGTTATCCCCATCTTAATTTCCATACAGTGATAAACATGTGACAGTTACATGATTGTTGTTTTCAGATATTTGAAGAGCTATCAAGCAGATATGTTCAGTATGTCTCCAGAAGCTGACCTAAGATATAATACCTCACAGACTTTCATTTCCTCTTCATAGAAGTTGATTTCCTGCAAGGATGTTTAGAAGAGATTCTTTTTTTTTTTAAGATTTTTTTTTTTTTTTTTTTTTTTAATTCATGAGAGACAGAGGGAGAGAGAGAGAGGCAGAGGGAGAAGCAGGCTCCCAAGGAGCAGGGAGCCCGA